TGAGACTTAACCTGAGTGCAAAAATGGAGGCTCTAGACCCTTCCAGAGCTGAGATATATCGAAACTCAAAATTCGACCCGAAAAAAAACGACAGTGGTACCCCTTACGTTTTTTTTTTTTTGGGCGAAAAAATAAGTTTCTCCAATCTTCTCAAAACTCTGGATTCTGATAGAGGGCCATGAGACTTAAACCTGAGTGCAAAAATGGAGGCTCTAGACCCTTCCAGAGCTGAGATATCGAAACTCAAAATTCGACCCGAAAAAAAAACGACAGTGGTACCCCTTACGTTTTTTTTTTTGGGGAAAAATTAAGTTTCTCAATCTTCTCAAAACTCTGGATTCTGATAGAGGGCCATGAGACTTAGACCTGAGTGCAAAAATGGAGGCTCTAGACCCTTCCAGAGCTGAGATATCGAAACTCAAAAATTCGACCCCAAAAAAAACGACAGTGGTACCCCTTACGTTTTTTTTTTTGGGGCGAAAAATTAAGTTTCTCCAATCTTCTCAAAACTCTGGATTCTGATAGAGGGCCATGAGACTTAAACCTGAGTGCAAAAATGGAGGCTCTAGACCCTTCCAGAGCTGAGATATCGAAACTCAAAATTTCGACCCGAAAAAAAAACGACAGTGGTACCCTTACGTTTTTTTTTTTGGGGGAAAAATTAAGTTTCTCCAATCTTCCAAACTCTGGATTCTGATAGAGGGCCATGAGACTTAGACCTGAGTGCAAAAATGGAGGCTCTAGACCCTTCCAGAGCTGAGATATCGAAACTCAAAAATTCGACCCGAAAAAAAAACGACAGTGGTACCCCTTACGTTTTTTTTTTGGGCGAAAAATTAAGTTTCTCCAATCTTCCAAAACTCTGGATTCTGATAGAGGGCCATGAGACTTAGACCTGAGTGCAAAAATGGAGGACCCTTCCAGAGCTGAGATATCGAAACTCAAAAATTCGACCCCCAAAAAAAACGACAGTGGTACCCCTTACGTTTTTTTTTTTGGGCGAAAAATTAAGTTTCTCCAATCTTCTCAAAACTCTGGATTCTGATAGAGGGCCATGAGACTTAAACCTGAGTGCAAAAATGGAGGCTCTAGACCCTTCCAGAGCTGAGATATCGAAACTCAAAATTTCGACCCGAAAAAAAAACGACAGTGGTACCCCTTTTTTTTTTTTGGGCGAAAAATTAAGTTTCTCCCAATCTTCTCAAAACTCTGGATTCTGATAGAGGGCCATGAGACTTAACCTGAGTGCAAAAATGGAGGCTCTAGACCCTTCCAGAGCTGAGATATCGAAACTCAAAAATTCGACCCCAAAAAAAAACGACAGTGGTACCCCTTACGTTTTTTTTTTTTGGGCGAAAAATTAAGTTTCTCCAATCTTCTCAAAACTCTGGATTCTGATAGAGGGCCATGAGACTTAGACCTGAGTGCAAAAATGGAGGCTCTAGACCCTTCCAGAGCTGAGATATCGAAACTCAAAAAATTCGACCCCGAAAAAAAACGACAGTGGTACCCCTTACGTTTTTTTTTTTTTGGGCGAAAAAATAAGTTTCTCCAATCTTCTCAAAACTCTGGATTCTGATAGAGGGCCATGAGACTTAACCTGAGTGCAAAAATGGAGGCTCTAGACCCTTCCAGAGCTGAGATATCGAAACTCAAAATTTCGACCCCCAAAAAAAAACGACAGTGGTACCCCTTACGTTTTTTTTTTGGGCGAAAAATTAAGTTTCTCCAATCTTCTCAAAACTCTGGATTCTGATAGAGGGCCATGAGACTTAACCTGAGTGCAAAAATGGAGGCTCTAGACCCTTCCAGAGCTGAGATATCGAAACTCAAAATTTCGGCCCCAAAAAAAACGACAGTGGTACCCCTTACGTTTTTTTTTTTGGGCGAAAAAATAAGTTTCTCCAATCTTCTCAAAACTCTGGATTCTGATAGAGGGCCATGAGACTTAAACCTGAGTGCAAAAATGGAGGCTCTACCCTTCCAGAGCTGAGATATCGAAACTCAAAAATTCGGCCCCCCAAAAAAAACGACAGTGGTACCCCTTACGTTTTTTTTTTTGGGCGAAAAATTAAGTTTCTCCAATCTTCTCAAAACTCTGGATTCTGATAGAGGGCCATGAGACTTAGACCTGAGTGCAAAAATGGAGGCTCTAGACCCTTCCAGAGCTGAGATATCGAAACTCAAAAATTCGACCCGAAAAAAAAACGACAGTGGTACCCCCTTACGTTTTTTTTTTTTGGGCGAAAAAATAAGTTTCTCCAATCTTCTCAAAACTCTGGATTCTGATAGAGGGCCATGAGACTTAACCTGAGTGCAAAAATGGAGGCTCTAGACCCTTCCAGAGCTGAGATATCGAAACTCAAAATTCGACCCCAAAAAAAAACGACAGTGGTACCCCTTACGTTTTTTTTTTTGGGCGAAAAATTAAGTTTCTCCAATCTTCTCAAAACTCTGGATTCTGATAGAGGGCCATGAGACTTAGACCTGAGTGCAAAAATGGAGGCTCTAGACCCTTCCAGAGCTGAGATATCGAAACTCAAAAATTCGACCCGAAAAAAAAACGACAGTGGTACCCCTTACGTTTTTTTTTTCGGGCGAAAAATTAAGTTTCTCCAATCTTCTCAAAACTCTGGATTCTGATAGAGGGCCATGAGACTTAAACCTGAGTGCAAAAATGGAGGCTCTAGACCCTTCCAGAGCTGAGATATCGAAACTCAAAAATTCGACCCGAAAAAAAACGACAGTGGTACCCCTTACGTTTTTTTTTTCGGGCGAAAAATGAAGTTTCTCCATCTTCTCAAAAACTCTGGATTCTGATAGAGGGCCATGAGACTTAGACCTGAGTGCAAAATGGAGGCTCTAGACCCTTCCAGAGCTGAGATATCGAAACTCAAAAATTCGACCCCAAAAAAAACGACAGTGTACCCCTTACGTTTTTTTTTTTTGGGCGAAAAATTAAGTTTCTCCAATCTTCTCAAAACTCTGGATTCTGATAGAGGGCCATGAGACTTAGACCTGAGTGCAAAAATGGAGGCTCTAGACCCTTCCAGAGCTGAGATATCGAAACTCAAAATTCGACCCGAAAAAAAACGACAGTGGTACCCCTTACGTTTTTTTTTTTGGGCGAAAAATTAAGTTTCCCAATCTTCTCAAAACTCTGGATTCTGATAGAGGGCATGAGACTTAGACCTGAGTGCAAAAATGGAGGCTCTAGCCCCTTCCAGAGCTGAGATATCGAAACTCAAAAATTCGGCCCGAAAAAAAAACGACAGTGGTACCCCTTACGTTTTTTTTTTTTCGGGTGAAAAATTAAGTTTCTCCAATCTTCCAAAATCTGGATTCTGATAGAGGGGCATGAGACTTAAACCTGAGTGCAAAAATGGAGGCTCTAGACCCTTCCAGAGCTGAGATATCGAAACTCAAAATTTCGACCCCCCAAAAAAACGACAGTGGTACCCCTTACGTTTTTTTTTTCGGGCGAAAAATGAAGTTTCTCCAATCTTCTCAAAACTCTGGATTCTGATAGAGGGCCATGAGACTTAAACCTGAGTGCAAAAATGGAGGCTCTAGACCCTTCCAGAGCTGAGATATCGAAACTCAAAAATTCGACCCCCAAAAAAAAACGACAGTGGTACCCCTTACGTTTTTTTTTTGGGCGAAAAATGAAGTTTCTCCAATCTTTCTCAAAACTCTGGATTCTGATAGAGGGCCATGAGACTTAAACCTGAGTGCAAAAATGGAGGCTCTAGACCCTTCCAGAGCTGAGATATCGAAACTCAAAATTTCGACCCCCAAAAAAAACGACAGTGGTACCCCTTACGTTTTTTTTTTTTGGGCGAAAAATTAAGTTTCTCCAATCTTCTCAAAACTCTGGATTCTGATAGAGGGCCATGAGACTTAAACCTGAGTGCAAAAATGGAGGCTCTAGACCCTTCCAGAGCTGAGATATCGAAACTCAAAAATTCGACCCCCAAAAAAAACGACAGTGGTACCCCTTACGTTTTTTTTTTCGGGCGAAAAATGAAGTTTCTCCAATCTTCTCAAAACTCTGGATTCTGATAGAGGGCCATGAGACTTAAACCTGAGTGCAAAAATGGAGGCTCCAGACCCTTCCAGAGCTGAGATATCGAAACTCAAAATTTCGACCCGAAAAAAAACGACAGTGTTACCCCTTTTGTGTTTTTTTTTCGGGCGAAAAATTAAGTTTCTCCAATCTTCTTCAAAACTCTGGATTCTGATAGAGGGCCATGAGACTTAAACCTGAGTGCAAAAATGGAGGCTCTAGACCCTTCCAGAGCTGAGATATCGAAACTCAAAAATTCGACCCCCAAAAAAAACGACAGTGTTACCCCTTTCGTTTTTTTTTTGTTTTTTTTTCGGGTGAGAAATTAAGTTTCTCCAATCTTCTCAAAACTCTGGATTCTGATAGAGGGCCATGAGACTTTGACCTGAGCCTCCATTTTTGCACTCAGGTCTAAGTCCCATGGCCCTCTATCAGAATCCAGAGTTTCAAGAAGATCAGAAAAACTCAAAATTTCGACCCCAAAAAAAAAATTGATGGTCACCTCGGGATTTGATCGTGAAGGTAGTGCTAAAGCGGTCTTCATATGGAGGAATGCGTCCATATGCATCTGCCATATGCCCCAGGAGCCTCTGAAAGTTCTTTCAGTGGGACCCTTTATCACTTCTCAATAGCACCAACCAACACACTCTCCTTTAGAAGAAACTCAACCAGGCTGTGCCAACGATGGCGCTCCTGGACCACTAATGTGGACATCACTACACTAGACAGGTAGCAGTGTGGAGCTCACTAATGAACACACACTAGACTACTGTTCTGCAACTGCAGGCTTTGGTTCTGCAAAACCAATTTTCAGTCTGAAACTGCTGGCCTTGGTGCTGCAGAACCAACTTTTGGTCTGAAACTATATTTTTTATGTATAATATTTTATATTATAGCACTTTAAATACCAAGCACAAAAATAACTGAACAGATAAATGTTTAGTATCCTTTTTAATTCAGTGTAAAAATTTCTTTTTTTCAAATTCAACAGATACATTTTCACAGCCATGCGGAAACAGTTAGAAATGCTTGTAAACAAATTAACATAAAATTTGACCAACAAAAGCTTTCCCCCCACAGTTAAACTATATACATAAGCTATCAAACCCTATATCACAGCACACATCATCATCATCATCATCATTAGAAATAAAGCAAAGACCAAATACAGACTCTAATCAAAAAAAGTTACAAACTCACCACCCTCACCTCCTATGTACTGTGAGGGTCAACGTTAGTTCTTTTTTTAATTTTTTCATCGTTATAACAAAGGATTTCGGCTACTTGTATCCAAAATACAGATTTGAAGTTATAATTGCCAGCACTCCAACTTATAATTACAGACTTAATTCTCCTTTAATAGACCTAATGAATGAGTTATCAAATATATATATATATATATATATAGCACCATGATGTGATTACCGAGGACAGGGGGAACGTCACAAAAACCCGTGTTAGTATCGAGACCAGAAAAAACACTGGCCCTCATAAGATTCTCACATTGCTGCATGCACTGATAATCACTCTACTGGACAACATTTTCTTTATATCTTGTATTCTGCATCTCTATTTTGACTCAATAGCTTTACATACGTTGAAAAACACAACACAGAGGATAAGGCATCAATTCTGCTGACGAGAGTGTTTACTTAAAGGTGAAGTTGTGCGTTTTGATTTAAATTCATTTGAGGGTAGCAGCTAAATTTGCCTCAACAGTCATATTTTAATTGCAAAAACAATTGAAATTTTGGTGTTATTGTAATAATTATAAAAAAAGAAAAGAAAATTTAATTAGCTGAAATGTATGATCATTACCAGTGTGTACCTAAATCCTGATGCTGTGTATGGGGTTTATGAGGGGAAATAAATGACACTGGAAATAAATGTAACATTCATTATAAAAAAGAGGAAAAAATATAAGCATTGAAATATGAATGAACATGACAACATTAATGTGGTTTGCTACAGCTAATATAAAATGTGGCCAAAGTCCCAGTTTGACATTTCTGACAGTGCCTTACATTTGTAAAACTAAACATGCATACAGCAAACAGCTACTGAAGAAACCCCCAAATAATTATAACAAAAAATAGAAATAAACCAATCCATAAGGATTCAGAACGAACATCTGCTAAAACCCATGAAGGAAGAAAAGTAAATTACAAAAGAGAGAAAAGCAACAGCTGTTAAAAAAAAAAAAAATCATTGGATCTTTATACAGTTAACCATAATTTAACATGAATCTAACTACATCATGTGAGTGACCATTGACAAAATTTAGTCAGCATTTGACGAATGCAAGCAAAGATGAACCAGAGAAAAACAATGACATGGTCACATTCTTTCAGGAGCTTCAAATATTGGAAAAAAAACAAACAAACAAAAAAACGGCGGTTTCGTAAGTCGAATCGGATGATCTTAGAAGCGTTTAGCCACAAACCTTCAAATAAAGCAGAAGTCAATGAGATACATTTCCTGAGAGTTCACCAACAACCTTACTGGTATTGAATAGAGCTTACAGTTATACTAAGATAAACCACTATGCGAATGTATTTTATAGGATGTTATAAAGGTTATTTACACTCAGAATGATCTATAGCAGGGAAAGCTCAAGTCTAGCTCTTAGAAAATTGTCACAGTTTTGCAATATATTGTAAGAAGATTTTGTTTTAAGTCTATATAGAATGTATCTAGCCTATATATTTATGAGCTGTAATTTTTGTTTTCAGAGTAAGACATCATAAAACACAGACATTATTGCACAACATTCTTTTCCGTTTCAAGAACTCTGTCAATAACATGCTATGATACAAATATAAATGATGTGTAGACTGTTAAAGTGAAATAAGCCATGTGTCCAAGTGTGGATATTTGTCTTGCATAAAATATAATGGATATACCCTTTCAAATGGAGCATGAAAACTACCCTATAGCAACCTTAATGAGGCTGAAGGACCACTTGAATCCTCATTCTGTGTATTTCAAAATGTACACTTTCTGTTAGAGGTAGTAAATATGTTTTTATTCTGGAATGAATGCTGTGAGTTCAGGAAAATGCATGGGATGTGAAGCGCTTCCTTGCTGATGTACGAGCAGAGAGGCTGGTAAACAAACAAGCTGGTGCTGTATTGTTCAGAGACTTGCAAAAGTCTTCCAGAAGAAACCTCTGTTGTGCCGTCAACATCAAAGATGACATTAAGGTAGTGTTCAGGTAGCAGTGATTGCTTATGTTTTTTTTCTACGGCTCACAAAATACTTCGACCGCCCGTACAAAAATGGCTCTTGAGAACGCAATCAAAAACATAACCATAAACATTGGCGTCAATTGTAGAATAATATTTTTTTGCATATCATAATCTTCATTTTGACTTGAGCACATCCCACCTCTATAATTAAGTTTGCTAAATCACATATTACAATAAAGCTGCAGGTTTTTACTCTCGTTTTACAGGCCAATACACCTCTTTTTATCCCTGTAGTGCAAATTGTGAGTGTTTTCCATTAGTCTACTCTTCATACCAGTAAGGTTAGATTTCAATACCATCATCCCTCAATCCACTACTATATGTATACGTTTAAATATTTATATATGTGTGTTTAATATGAATGTCATACATATATGAATATACTGTCTCAATATAGATTTTTACTACTCTTACCAAATGCACACCCACCCAAAACAAATGAAACAGCGCAAGAAACATACAAGGTACTGAAATCTTACCCTCCCAAAAAAACTTTTTTTTCACCAAAAGGGAGAATAAGACAGAAAAAGAGGGAAGAAAACTTCAAGTACAATGAACACTGAGGAGAAAAAGTCCATTGGGCAAACTGTTTAAACAAAACATCAGGACAAACAACAGCACCCCCCCCCCCCCCATTTTAAAACAAAAGTCACCATTTATACACAACCTTCTCTCAAAGATCAATGACTGAGAAGTCCTTTCTTCAAGCTTTTCAAACCTGAAAAGGAACAAAAGAAAAAGAAAAGAGAGAGACCTGGTGTGAGGGAAAGTCACTGTGTCTTCTTCCAGGCCTCATGTGCATCGCTCAGAGTGGGATTTTTCCAGTGCTTTTGGCAGTGAGGTGAGCCTCTGTGATGGCTGATGCTGCTCAGGGCTCCTGTCTGATGTAGTAACTGCCTGAGCCGTTGCTCTCCTGGTCTGAGATGCCCTGCGAGAAGGTGAACTCGTCGATCTCTGGAGTCTCTTCTTTTAACTGCAGCGAGGCCTCTGGAAAATAAAAACGAGACACAAGAATAACAGTTCATAAAATGCAACACAAGTGAGAGAAGACAACTCAATGCAACACCAAAGATGGAAAATTTGGCTGTGAAGGCCACCTGAGGACTAGTACTTTACACTCGGATATAATGAAGAGGATGGAAAGGAGAAGTAACTCTACACTCCTCAACTGCAATAACCAAAATAACCAAACCTTATAATTTTAACTTTTTCAATTTTAGTCGCCAGAATCAGAAGCATGATGCAGCATTCACATAATGAAATCAACCAGGCAGCGATACACAAGGTTAAGATATTTTAGTAGGCTAATAAATACTTACCTGGCATGTTTAAAGGAACAGATCACTCAAAAATTTAATTTACTCTCATGTCATCCTGTACGACTTTTTTTTTCTATGGAACACAAAAGGAGAATTTTTTCCTTCAATTGAAGGAGAAAGGTGCTGTCAAGCAGACTAAATTCTACTATTCACTTAAAATCCTCCCCAGTAGCTCTTAAATTTATTATACCACCATTTGAGGACATTTGGCATAATTAACTTTTAATTATCTAAGATTTTGGTCTGTTCCTCACAAATGGCTTTAAAAGTATATATATATATATATATGAGGTGATGGAAAGACTTTCTTTTTCATTAAAGACAATGAAAATTTAACACCTGCAATAGGTTATCTTCAGAGAGTAGGTTGCTATTACTTAACATGAAAAATAACTTTGGAATCGAAAGATGAGGTTATCCGCTTACTTACCCTTAAACATACCCGGGTTACTTACCCATGACACATAACCTGCTTTCTGGAATACACCCAAAGTCCCATTTTTTGTGTTAAAGGAAAAAAAAAAAAACTATGCAAAATATTCTTTAAAAACAACAAAAAATTCTCCTTTTGCATTCCATACAATTCATACAACATGAGGGCGAGTCTAAAACAAAATGTACGTTTTTGGTGAGCTATTTCTTTAAAATCCAAAAGCTATTAATTCACACCATCCTTAGGTAAATAAAACAATGAGTCAGGTGTGGGATGAAACTGCCCACGCACACACTTCATCTGAGTCAAACGTAAAACTACTCTTTTTTCATGCAACTGTTGTTAATGGTGTATGTGGCACATAATACGCAGACACCTGATGACGTGCAACTCTTCGCGAAGGCCAACCTGAAAAGTTCGACAGGAATGAGCTCAGTGGCGCCCTCTCCCTGAGTGATGGAGAATTGAGTTACCTGAGTTGAGAGAGCGATCATGCTCTACACCTGAGGTGGGAGGTCGCCCGGACCCAGAGAAGTGGGACAGGTAATGGGGCGGAGTCTGCTCTTCATCACCCGAGAAGCTCCTCCTCCTCAGAGGCCCACCCAAACCGATCGGCCTCCTCCCAACTGGAATCTTCCTCTCTAAACACCAAGCCAGACTGTGTTACCGAAGTTACTGGGTTAGTGTTACCCAGGCTACCAAGCTCAACTCCACAACACTGCAGGCCATCCTCCAGCTGAGCCCAAATTTCAACTCAGATCTGATACTGAAACTTAATTTGATTTCTACAAGACAGAAGGGTGATTGTGAAACTGAAGCCCAGAGAAAAGGCAATGTGGAACCAAAAATCATGACTGCAAACCTGACCTCTCCTAAACATTTGCTCTGAATCTCTCACCCGAGGGAGAGTGCCACTGATGGTTACAGTTGTGTGTAATTATCCATGACCCCACAGAATCATGACAACTGCCACTGACTAATAAGCAGAACCAGACCAGACCCAAGCCAGAGAAAAACCAGTGGAAACATCTCCTAGACCAATTTTGCACCCAAAATCAGTGTTCGGTGAGAGGAGAGAGAGAGAAGATGGAAAGATTGAAGGAGATTGTACTCACTTTTCTTTTGTCCTTTATACTGTGCTGTCTTTTTTTTCTGTTTTGAGACATTTGGCGGTGCTTCTCTTGTGGCTGAGGATGAAAGGGACAAGCTGTTATTCTATGCAGCCAATCATTAAAACAGGCACATACATTATACATAGACAAAGAATGATCAAGCAGCAGATTTGTATTAGCCCTGAATTAAAATAAAAATGTTAAAAAAGTGCTCATTCAGAAAGTTCATATGTTTTTATATTTAGCATTTATAAAAAAAAAAAATCAGATATGATTATATTGTGATTATTATTTCAGATTATATAATAACTGGTTGTTATAATTAAAATTATTAGCATATTCTTATTTATTACTTGCATAGTACACAAGTAATAAAAAGTAAGTCATGTGACTAAAGTTATCCTTTGTGTTCTGTTAAAGGACGCTTGATTGGTTGTATCTGTTAAATAGAAGAAACGTTCGGAAATGCAGTAATTATTAGTAATCGCATAACAGTAATTATCACATACAACGGGTGAAGGTTCCAGGATAATGATTAGACAACGCCATTATACAGAGGTCAGTCGATCATACATGGGTCATTTGCATCTACAATAAAGTATAAATCTAGGGGTCAGAGCAGAAGTAGAAAATGGCTGTGTAAAACTAAATGAAAAAAAAAAAGTGTAGAAGGAACAGTTCTCTAAAAAAAAAAATACACTATTAATATGAGAATAGAGTGTTGCTAATAAACCATTTGAACTTTTTACAATCAGAATCTTCTGTAGTGTTCACTCACTCTGTGCAGCGGGCGGCTGCAGCTGATAGCCAGTAAGTTGGCACCAGCCTACGGGGTAGAGATCTGGAGACTCACAGTCCACCCACTGATCGTACTCGTCCTCCCAGCCGTCAAAATGAATGCGCAGGAGTCTGTGTACGATCCTGGTCACTGTGGCGACGCATACCAGACGTGGCTCCATCAGGTCCACTGCCTCCAGCTTCATCCCTGAACGGAAGCCGTGATTTGGTACATCCTGAGGGAAAGAGAGATCAGAGATGATTCAATGGCATGCACCACAATGCATTATTCAAGACAAAACATAATGCATAATCTGAAACAAACAAAATGTTTATGTCACAGTCCATGCATGAAAACTTACTTTGTTAAAGAGCTTCACAGGGGCTGCAATTGAAATTGTTTCTCTGAGGTAGTCAAACCATTTAAAAGGGAGTTTGGTGTACCCTGTGGAGCAGTTACAGATTCATTCAGTGAAGATGTCACATAAGATCACGCTGCAGAAAGAGAGAGGAAACACACCTCTTGGGGGTGTGAGCTCAATGTTGTTGATTTCACAGAAGCCGACTGGGAAGATGGAGGGAGAGGTTGAGTGGTAGCAAAACCAATCTGACCCATCAGCAGCCTCTGAACCATCAATCCCGATCATTAGGTACCCGTCTGCCAACACCTGAGAGAAGGTTACATGATCAGCTAAAAATACCTGCATTTCATAATTTCCATTCTATATATTTTTATATCAACCAATGACACCAACTCTAAATTACAAATTAAAAATCCCAATTTCATGCATTTTTAATGTACTTAAATTATAATAAAAAATGATAACACTGTAGTTGTACAACTCAACATTTAAATCAATCAGACAAAATGACAACTTTACCTTTCTTACAGTAGCAACACATATAGCAGAAAGATTTAGAGGGTCTATTGCCTCCAACTTCATTCCGTCTTTAAACCACTCCCCACTCTGATCCACATCCTTAACCTGTGGGTTTAAAAGATGACGCGCATGAGCAAATAGAAGCAGGCGCCTGCCAAAACACAGTGGAATAAAAATGTACCTTAAGAAACAACTGCGAGGGTGCATCCACCTGACCCTCCATTTTCTTCATCACCTCTGCAGAAGGCAACATTAGAGACATTTAAATCCATAAGCAACAACAAGATCATTAAATGTTATGTTTGCTGAATCAACATTGACAAGTTCTAAAACCATTCAGACTCCCACACTGACCAGATCTTTTGAAACGATGTCCAATGCTTCGTGACCAGCCAATGGAGTGGATGAGTGGGCTGAACATATGACACCAGAAGTCATCAGTGCCGTCCTGGCTCTCTTCATACACCAGACGCAGACGCCCGCCAATCACCTGTTCTACCAAGGCCACGCGAGTCCGACACAGGTGGGTCTTATCCACAACTTCCACACGCATCAGTTTCTTAAACGGGTACTGCATGTTCTCGTGAACCTTCAAGTTAAACATTTAAACAAACAGTTTAAATGAAACTTGTGCACTACCGTTCAAAAGTTGGGGTTCTTAAGATTTTAAAAAAATGTTTTTGAAAGAAGTCTCTTATGCTCACCAAGGCTGCTTTATTTTGATAAAAAATACAGTAAACACAGTACTTTAGCAAAATACGGTTACAATTTAAAATAACTGCTTTTTAAAATACATTTTAAAATGTAATTTTAGATATGATGGCAAAGCTGAATTTTCAGCATCATTACTCCATTCATGATCCTTAAGAAATCATTTTAATATGCGGATCTGGTGCTCAAGAAACATTTCTTATTATCAAAGTTAAAAACTGTTGTGCTGCCAAATATGCTTGTAGAAATCATGATACAATTTTATTCTCAATAGAAAATTCAAAAGAACAGAATTTCTTTTGTAACACTATAGTCTTTTTTGTCGTTTTTTAATTCAATTTAATGCGTCCTTTTTTCAAATCAAGAAATTGTAAAGAAGATGCATTATATACCTGCATGTGACAAAATAAAATTAATTATGGGTGCTACTTGCAAAAAGACAAACAATAGAAGAAATCAAAACTTTTTTTCACAGAGATAACAAAAAGTAGATCTGCTATACACTTGACTTATCTCAATGTCAAAAGACGTCTGCTTCTTTTATTACAGTAAGACAGTCTGACACCTTTAACCCATGTTAATCAGATTTGTGAGGAACTATTTCCTGGCGTATTTTCTCATCATAGCAGGAAGATTTTGCTCTACAGGTTTTCCAGAGTCTCTCTACTGATGTAATGCTTTATGGTGACTGCTGGGATACAGCATCTTACCTTTGTGGCAAAATCTGGCGGAAGAGTTTTGGCTCCAGTGAGTCGTTTTACAAGAAACGGTTTCCAGTTAGAATACTTATGCTGGATGGCTATGAAAAAATATTTTTAAATTTATAATTACTCCTATTCAGCAATGGCAAGTTCACACTATTTTAACAGCAAAACAAAAATGCTAATTAGGTAGTTTTGAATAGCTTAATGTTTTACATACATTTTGGAGGCACCAGTGGCTTTCCACTAGAGGCACACCATCCAACAGGATGGACTTCTGGGATACACAGATTACACCAGAAGTCTTTGCTTGAGTCATTATCAAAACCCTCATAGCGCAGAAGAGCTTTAAAACCTGAGAAGTTTAGAAAATAAATAAGTTAATTTCAATACATCAAACATTCTTAAAAGCAAAATGAACTTGGCAGTTGTTACACTACAACATTACCTGCCAGTTTGACAATCCCTGCTACCCAGTAAACTTTTGTGGAGAGGTTTGTGTCAGAATTGAGGACCTCCACCCTCACCCCATCAGCTATGTCACCCCAACACATGCCCATGGGCACCTGGAGAGTTATCAAATCACATGCAGAGTATTCATTAAACATACATACAAGCCAAAATTTTATAAGAAAAACAATTATGATAATAATTCTCTGCCTGTACTCACGTGTTTGAAACAACTGACTGGTGCCCCAACTAGATTATTGCTACAAATGTACCGGCCCCAGTCAAAGCCTTCAACAGGAACCACTTCATGAGAAAAACAGCAAAAAGAACAAAAAGTTGTGGTTAAATATAATGATTGGGATTTTTTTTTTCAATCAGTTAGGCAGACAATTACAACTTTAAACTTAGTCAAGTAGCTATTCACCTGATTTTGATTTAGCTTGGTTCTGTTGATTTGCTTGATACTGTGCGTAAGCTGCCAACTTTGCCATTAATGGCTGTTTCTGTAAGACTTTTGCCTTTTTTGTTGGTGGTTTACCCTTGATAGGACACAAGAAAAATAAATACAATATGTCTAAGCTATGGAAATAATAAAAAAAAAATTCCAACAACAACAGAGGTAGTCTTTTGATTTGAAGTGCTTCATAAGTCCACGAGTAGTTACCTGAAGTCTTGCCAGTATACTGGCCTTTTTAGAATTGGAGGAATAGCTTCTGGAGCAGGATACACTGCAGAATCTCTTTGTTTTAGAGTAGAAAGCATCTCGTACACCAACCATACCACACATCTCACAGGTTGCTGCATGAAAAAAAAAAGTAATCAATCATATATTTACATTATTTAACCTTTATCATTATAAAGCAAACCATAAAATGATTTTTGTTAGTAAGGGGGAAACATTTATCACTAGAAGTTATATTGTAACCATGGTTACATTACAACAAGGAGTGAAATGTATATTAGGTTCTTTTTATTTCCAGGTTTAAATGAAAAATAATGTATATTACTATTTATGGACATTACTAACCCATTCCAGCTTTTCCATCAGGATAGGTGTAGACCTGGCCGTTGTTTTTGATGATAGGCAGGCTGGCTGGGATACTGGGGACTTCATCCTCACTGTCCTCCGAGCTGGAGCTGCTACTGCTGTCTTCACTGCAACTGTCATATCCGTCAAACATCCCGAACGAATCTCTTCTCTTCCGCTCTGAGCGGGGAGTGTGCTCAGCCTACATGTTAAAAGGTGTGAAGGAAAATGTGGAGAAAGGCCAAAGAAAGACAAGGATTAAAGCTCACTTATACAGCCATAATAGTTAAATAATTACCTTTGACATAATACAGCATGATTAATATTGAAGTCAGTGATAACCATAATCTTTATACTACTTAATCAACGATTTAATGAGTAGGGAATTAGGAAGCAGAGCAAATCACATTAATAAAAATTAAGGTTCTCAGGGGTCACAAAAAAGCAAATACCCTGTACAAAGGGGCAATATCACCAGCACCCAGTATCCCCACAGGGCATTTCAAGAGATGAGATAGCTAGAGCAAAAGACTCTCATTTCATATTTTTAATGATATTTACTGTATTTTCATGGTTTATATATTTTTTTTCAATATTGAACTGCTAGACTGGTGCATAAGACAAGGATTTGTCCAAACCACTGTAACCTGAATTAAAAAAAGCATACTTTCAGACCACTTCTTCATCTAAAAGCATGCCATTTCCGTTTGCTAAAATACCAGTTCACCTAAATCTATACATTTAATATCCACATAAATAACACCTTTTAGGTAAAATTTGGCATTTCACAAACATACACATATGCTGTGCCTCAAAACCTAACGTTACATGAACAGAACGTTTCATGAAAACGCGTTTATGATCCCCATAAATACTGTCTACAAACTGTTTTGATTCACGACCATAAACACAAACATAGACACAATCATGGGCCTGCGGGTACATTTCAGCTGCACAAAACACATACATAATCAGTTGTTTTTGCACCATTTAGTGAGACAGCTGGCTTGAATGAACGGTTACATAGCATAGAAAGTATTACGAGTGATTTAAACGAGGTAAATGCTGCAGTTTGTGTGACTAGCAGGATTTGTTTCTGACAACCAAAACAAAGAGGACGGCTAACACTGCTAGCCGCTAACTGCGCTAAATCAAGGAAGCGGGCTCAAACAAACTCTTTCTTACCATATCCCTTGGGTTTTCCATTAGCCCTTCATACACGTCGGTATTTTATGTTCGTTGTGGTATGGTCCGCGAGCCCCCCAGGGGGGAAGGGCCTGGCTTGAAATTATTTACTCTAAAGCAAAAAATAACTCCAGTTGATTATCAACAATTGTCATGGTTCGAGTGAGCATGCGCGGGTTGCGCTCGGATCTACAATGATTGGCAGGGATATTAGCCAATAAGGGATAACCTGTACGCCACTTTTGCACCATATAAGGTAACAGGAAATGTTTTAGTGAGGGTGAATAATCTCAGATCAAATAAAAACGGACTTTGTGTGCTACCATAGCAGATTTATTGACTATAAATATTAAGTATATTATGTCCAGGGTCATAACTTCATGGTAATAGAATGACATGATGAAATGATGGATGGGGTGATAAATGTCAAGATGTGTGGCCGGCTCAGTAGATGGGCATAGAGTAAAGTAACTTACTGTAAGTTTAATGAGGTGTGCAATGTATCGGAGTCTCAAAATGTCAATAAATCATGCACATATAATTTTTTTTTTGACCTTTTGAGATTGAAAATCATCATTTTCTGAATTAAGGCATTTTTTATATGTATTTTATATATTTCATGTAATAAAATATCTAGATTTTAGTAATCCTCTATTGATGAAACACATTACTGATATTATTATGATACACATTTTAATTAAACCGAACTACACCTTGTAACATTACATTTTTTGTATTATTAAAAGCCACATAAACATTTTGAATGAGATGTTGAGAAGTCAGTACTTACAGCTCCTCCAGAGAATTTCTATTATTTAATCTTGTATATGAAGTTGACAGCCTGATGTGTTTACATACTGTATAATGGAAGAGATATTATCTATCTCCATTTCCACGTGTTCAGCCACTGTCATTAGCTCCTGTTTTTGAATAACTTTTGCATATTTTATAACACCATTTGTGTTATTCTACAATTACTTAATAAACAGTGTGCATCATTCATTGCATGAGATCCAATTCCCCTCAAGCATTTTATCACAGTACAATAATCCACAAACAATAGAAGGAACATGTCCACTCGGCTTGGACAGAGAAGCTATTCAAATTAATAATATGGGATATAATAATAGACTTTATTTGATTATATACACATATATTATATATACCGTAGCATTCAATGCAATAAAACTCAATTCACAACAGAAATAATTTTGACACAGAAAATGAAAAATGGCCCATCAACAAAAAGCTGAACCATCTTATCACTGAGAAACAAACCAAAAGAAACTTGGTGCTACAATGCAACAATACTGAGGTTTCAAACTGACTCAATCATGAGTTCCCTGAGATCTGCTCTTCCACTGTCTATTATCTGCTCTTCGAAGTTCAGACCAAAAAATTAAGAAACATTTTTATACGTAAATGAGATGAACACAATGAGAACACAAGTGGAAACAGTTAAAAAAAATGTGCAAGATGTCCCAAAAAGATTAGACAAGATACGAACTATGAAAATCATTCCTTATATGAGAGAACTTGTACAGTAAATACAGGCAGTCTGAGCAGGTGGAGTAGTCAAGTAAGGCTCTTTCTCAGAGACGGGAAGCATGTGCTGAATGCTAAATGAGAATAGCAACTGGTCTCTGGGGAGGAGAGGAGAATACAGGCAGCATTAACACAATCAGCTGGTCTTAAATGGAGTATGATATACACAGGCATCCAAACTAAATAAGAGATTTTTTCCTCACCAATATCAAGGCATACATTCTTTGGCTTTTTTGTCAGTTGAATTCTTCATCAATAGTGTCATCCACACTTCCAGAAATTGAGGCAACTTCTGAAAGAAAGATGAAGGGGGAGGAGGGGGGGTTAGACCATGAAACAGGACAAAACTATAAGATACAAGAGAAACAGAAATATAAAACTTAAAGGTGCTGGAAGCTTTTTTTTTTTTTTTAATTTATGGCAGTTTGACCTGTAATGGGCAAAAAAAATAAAATAAAAATAATAGCCTTTACATTGTAACTGCCATTGAGATTAATAGGATTTTATGGAAAGCTGCTGCTAATAATAATGTTGTAATTGTTAACTAAAACTGCTTTAAATGTCGCCTTTTTAACAAGGTGAAAAGTTGAAGTATTACTGAGCCCCTAAAGCAGGGCTGCCCAATCCTGAACCTGCAGAGTTCAGATTCAACACCTGAATGTAATTATCCAGTGCTCATAAATATCTTAATTAGCCGATTCAGTTGTTTGATCAGGGTTGGAGCTGAACTTTGCAGGATGGTAGATCTCCAGAAACAGGACTAGGCACCTCTGCCCTAAAGAAAAAAAGAAAAAAAAAATATATATATATATATATATATATATATATATATACACACACATCATTGCTTTTGCAATCTCTTGCAAATGTTTTGCGTTCTACCGAGAAATTGTTTCCTTGCTAAATGTTTGGGTTCCTCTGAGAAACCTTCGCTCAAATGTTATTTTCGTACCTTCAAATACTAAAACTAAATGAAATAAACCAGCATTTTTCTTTTTTACTAATAAAAATGACAAGCTTATATGTAACGGTAATAGAAATTGTAAGAAGAAAAAGTGAAAATAAGTGAAAGTCAGAGGGGAGTAACCTATAAATAGAATAAAAAATATTTTTCTTTTAGTGAATGTGTGGTGATTGCTTATTTTCAAATGTTAAAAGTTTTCAGAATCTTCAAGGCATAATTACAGATGTCCTTGGCTTACAGCACCTATAATGCTTTGAGGTGTAGGTTCTGAAAACGCTTCACCTTAAGCACCACTGATTAAATAAGTATGTGCCTCTCCCATTGAGGCCCAAACCCATGTGCAGTGTAAATAAAGCCTCACAGTTGTGCGGTGTCATATTGTGGGCTTATTCAGTGTAGTATGGTGTATTAAAGCCCTCAATTGAAAACCAGTCACATCCCACAGAGATCCAACGTGCTTCAGTGACTTTTAAGAATAAAATCTACACCTCTTGTTGAATTGTCTTCACCAGAGTTGCCCTGTTCACTTTTGAAACGCATGTTCTTCAGTTCCTGAAGGTCTGGCTTGCTTCCTCTTTCTCCAATTACACTTCCAGCTTCATTAAGTAGGGTTTTATCATTCAAGCTTGACGTCTGGCGTTTCACATCACTTTTTAACAGGTTTTTTTCATCTGAATTTCTTTCTGTAAATGACTTGCATTTAGGCTCTTCAGAAGTGCTAATTAAAACACTTCCATGGCTGTTACTGTCACTCAGAGTGATAACTTCTGGAGTCGGCTGTGGACGAGTCAGATTAGCTGGACTAAGTCCCACTTCAGCATCTTCAACACTCCTGGATGAATCTGAACTTAGTTCAATCACAGAGGCAGAAGAAGCAGTTGTCTCATCAGAAGATTCTGTCAAAAACGAAGATGATCCAGTGGATGACTGAGGCATGGTGGTGCTGAGAGACACTTCGGACGAGTCCCTAGAAGAGGTAAGATAATACCACACACCTCTGATGCCGTCACTGCTCTCTGTATTTTCACTGTAACTGTCCATTGTACAAGATGAGCCTGTCTCTTCTGATGAAGTAGACATCACCTTCTCCTTCTTGCCGTAACAATGAGTGCCAAGGAAAACGTCATCACCAAGAGTGAAGGAATCCAGCGTTGATGTGACAGCCTCCACACAGGAAGGAGATGTGGATGAGATTTCCTGAACTGACAGCACATGTAATGGTGACACTGGGGTTAAGTTGTTGGACTGGATTGGAGGGTCTAGCGTGGACGAAGACGACTCAAGTATCTGGCTGACTATTTCACTCAGGTTCTGAGATGGAGTGGAGTAGATCAGGGAAGAGGAAGACGTAAGTCCAAAACTCGGGCACTGGTCCACGTCAGCTCGCTCCACCTCCAAAGAGCTTGTGAGACATGAAGACCATTCCAGCTCCTTGCTTGCCCATGGATATGCTGAACCTTCACACACGCCAGCCCAATGACTGGTTAAACACTGCTGAACTGAAATGCACTACTGTTCAATAGTATGGGGTCAGTAAGAATTTGTAACATTATGAAAGAAGTCTCTTATGGTCACTAAGGCTGTATTTATCTGATCAAAAATACGGTGAATTGTTATTACAATTTAAAAGAATTGTTTTCAAATTTTATATATTTCGAAATTGAATTTATTCCTGTGATGGCAAAGCTGAATTTTCAGCATCATTACTCCAGTCAGTGTCATGTGATCATTCAGAAATCATCAAGAAAAATTTAATATCAATATTTTTGTGGAAACTGGGATACATTTTTTTCAGGATTCACTCGTGAACAGAAAGTTAAAAAGAGAAGCATTTGAAATCGAAAACTTTTGTAAAATAATAAATGTCTTACTTTCAATCAATAATTAAAAAAAAAATAATCATAAAACAATTCTTACTGACCCCAAAGTTTTGAGTGGTTGTCTATGTGGAAGAATAAGTTTACAAGTTTAAGAGGTCATAAATAGCATGAAAAAGGAAGATGCACATGAAAGTTGAAGCATCTCTTTCCATTTCTCCCACAAAGCTGAAAGAAAACGTACCTGACAAACTGATGCAGGACATACTGAACTCAGAGGTCGCTCCAGTCATGTCATCCTGTGAAAATCCAAACAGAGATTCTCTTATTGTGGCTTCCACCTGCAATACACTATATAACAAAATCCATATATCTTACCAGCATCTTCTGCAGTGATCTGGACTCATCCCAGTCTCCCCTCAGCCCAATCCCTTCATCCTCGCAGCTTACAGCATGACCGAGACTAATCAACTCCTTACCAAGATCCACAGCCTGAGACAGAGGAGATAAATCCACCGCACCGGAGGATTTAAAAATCACAAGTTCAATTACAATTTCACACAGTATTTATTGAATACCATTACAATTTCAGAGGATAATCTGAGTGATGCCCGTCCATGTAAAACACAAGATAACACGTCAGCAGCGTCATTGGAATCGTGAACGAGCAATGACAACAGAAACGGAAGAGAATACAATGCTGAATAAAGTCGTTGTTTTTGCTATGTTTGGACCAAAAAGTATTTTCGATGCTTCAAAAAATTTGAACTAACCCACTCAAGTCACATGGACGACTTTGATGATGTCTGTATTGCCTTTATGGACAAGGACAGTATAAGGTACATTCATTTTCAATGGAGGAACAGAAAGCTCACAGACTAAATCTAAAATATCTTAAACTGTGTTCTGAAGATGAACGGAGGTCTTACGGGCTTGGAACGACATGAGGGTGAGTCATTAATGACTTATGAATCATTTAATAACTTATTAATAATTTAATTTAATTTACTTATTAATAACTTAATAATAATTTTCATTTTTGGATGAACTAACCCTTTGAGTAATAACTCAAAAAAATACAGGTAACTTACAAAATTAAAGTTTATTGAAAGCAAGTTTTTTTATATACATTAAAAGTTTGTTTCAGAGTTAAACAAAATTAAGAAATTGCTATGATATAATAAAACAAAGATTAACTTTAATCTTCTCGAAGTAACTAGCAGCCTTGTCACCTGATCTGAATACTGCCCGCTGATTCGCTAAAACGGACTTGTGCTCACCAACAACAAGGGTGCTTGTTTGTTTCTGACAGACAACAATACCGGCTTTTGTGACAAAACGTCTTTAGGGTTCAGTCAATCTTGTCAGGCGTCTATTTCAGCTGAGGAAATTAACGTTACAAAGACACACCGGCAGACAGTATGGCGAGTAAACAAAAATGCGCACTTTGGGCGGAAAAGCTTAGACGGACATTATGTGAGAATGTGGAGAATGTCAAAATAAAGGTAACTTATATCGATATTTTACATATGGCATCGATTCATCGTATTGGTAGAAGTTTGATCCGATGCAACAATCCATATCGACGTACACCCCCAGGTGTGATGTTGACCTCTAACCTTTCCCTGGCTGTTGTCATAGAGTTTCACACTGGGCCAGGATGAGATCTCAGAATGAGAATAGCTGTACAGTTTGGCCAGTAAAGGTTTCCATTCAGCACAGTATGTCATGCGTTCAAAGTCATCCAGGGCTGCCTCAGTCCAAACCTCTCCTGAAACAAAATAAGGATAGATAACATTTAGACTTTTGATGAAACTTATATTTCACTGATAAACACCTGAACAAACCTATTTTTACCTGCAGGACGAACCCCTGCAAGGCTGCACTCAATGGCTTGGAAGGGCAGGCTCAGGAAGTCGCTTCTAAATACCACAAATGAATACATCATCAGTATGAGTATACATATCACTCTGTGCTTATGTAGAAATGGGAATAAAAGTCAAGAGCCAAAAAAAAGCATAAGCATAACAGCCGATTCTGCACTCTCCATCTTTCACTAACAGTACCTCATGCTTCGTAATTGTTCCCGTGGAAGCTCCCCATTGTCCCCAAAGTCCACATAATACAAATCCACCTCGCCAGAGCTTAGAATTCCTAACACTCGAGCACGATTCCACGTGCCATGGTCCCTGTATGAAGCAGCCACTATGTCTCCAACAATAATAGTCTCCACTCGGTGCTCCTGTGGTAAGAGAAGTAGTTATTATTCACTAATATTATAAAAGAAATAATAATAATAATAATGGAGAAGTCATTTACTAATTTAATAAAGTGAGGTCAAGCGAACTCACTTGTGAGGTGTCACTGTTGTAGAAATGGCTCATTTCAGCAGTCAGTTTATCCAGCTGTAGAGATCGGACCCCCAGGATCTGGATCCAAAAGTGTTGTGGATTCTCAGAGGCAGACACATACACCTCCAGATGCTCATCGGGCTGGAAGCTCAGATCTGGACTAGGAACTGGAAAGAAAAGATTAATTAGTGATTTACCTTCCACAGGAATCCAAGTTCACAAGATACAGATAAAAACTAAAAACAGAAAACTTTATGCATTTTGGGCGTTCTTTTACACAACATCAGCGTTTTGGCGGCCTGCTGATGCAAGCTCATTATATTTGGGGTTCAAAGTGAAAGTTTTTGAAAATTATACCATCATCGTTTCCACGTAAAAAACAAAAACGTCAATTTGTAAAAACATGCGTGTATATTTGTAAAAATTTGAATTGACTTCAAATTACTCCCTTCATTTTCAAACATTAAGCTTTTATTTGATTCTTCAAATTTGACTCATTTTATTTAGATTAATCATTAATATTTCTAAATATGTTCCTAAAGTAATGGTTCATAGAATAGTTGTTGCATAGAATCTCATACAGGTTTGGAATGACATGTCATGAATGTAAGTAAATGATGACAGAATTATAATTTTTCTATTATTTACAAGCCTTGTGAAAGTGGGTTTGGTTAATCTTACTTTCAAATTTGGAGATTTCCAAAGGCGATACTGGAGAGAGAATCTCCTCTGATTTAAGGGAGTTTTCAGCAGTATCACTACTGTCTGCAAAGCCGTTGACCGTAGCAGGCCCCTCTTGTTCAAGCTCAATCACTGGGGAAGGTAAATCTTTTCCATTAAGCTTTAATTCATTCTCTGGTCCTTGGGCCTTGTTAAATGGTTCAGTTTCCGGCGGTTTCCTCTTCTGACGCAGTGCAGAAGCTTGACTTATCCGCTTTCGTACGGTTTCATTCTCTATGACCTTCTCCATGATCATCTCCTGTGAGAAAAAAACATAACCAAAAACTACGTCTCACTCCCTACATGTGCGCGTAAAATCAGCATGTGAACGCAAAGCTATTTTTCAAAACCACGTGTATGCTAAAATCTCACCTTTGCATTTTGAATTTCCTTGCGTGTGCCGTTAATTGTGATCTTGCCTTTCTCCTCTAAGCCGTGTCCACGATCTTTGGAGCAGTTCACCCTGGCCCCTGAGACTCTGTTTATGAATTTTAAGGTCTCACCACCACGGCCTGGAGCAAATATTTCAAACATATTACGCAGGAGATTAAATGTTGGCAGAATGACGCAAAGCACAAATGCTCTGGCACAACAACAGATATACTTTTACTTGAAGTGCACACCAACCTATAATTCTTCCAAAAGCCGTCTGAGGCACTTCTATAACCTCAGTGATGAGCTCACAGTCGGAGGCCAGTTTCTCCAGCGCACACTGTGCAACCAGAATCTGCTCGGGTGAGCCCTGGATCAGAAAATTCACCATGCTCTGCTCTTCAGTGTTTGGCAGCACATTTATCTGGGCACCGGACTTCTGATTCACCTACACAAATGTGAGAGTTAGAGAATCATATAAAACAAATCATATACTATATCATTGTTATTGATTTTTTTTTATCATATTTGAATTTCACAGAGAAAAAACTACTCAAGTGATTTCCATTCGAATTAGGATTTTGTTCATTTACAGGCTTGGAAATCACAATTATTATAAAACTTAATGTTGCATTTAGATTCATAAAAGTAGACACTTTTATCCAAGGCAATTGAACCAGGAACAAAAGTAACTCATCACAACGCCAAATATTTATAATATACACATATTACACTATTGTTCAAAAGCATGGGGTCAATACAATTTTTAAAAGAAATACTTATTTAGCAAGAAAATTGACTGAAAGTAACAATAAAATATATTTATAATGTTATATCGTTATTTATAATGTTCTGTTTTGAACTTTATATTCATCAAAGAACATATGGTTATTACAAAAACATTAAGCAGCACAACTGTTTTCAACATTAATGATGATAATAAGAAATGTTTCTTGAGCAGCAACTCATATTAGAATGATTTCTGAAGGATCATGTGACACTGAAGACTGGAGTAATAATGCTGTAAATTCAGCTCTGTCTCAATTTACAGTGCATATTATATTACAATATAATAAATCACAAACTTACTGTATTTTTTAATAATAAATGCAGCCTTGGTGAGCATAAGAGACAAAAACACTAAAAAGTCTCAAGCACCCCAAACTTTTGAACAATGTATTGTTTATCATGTATAGTTCCAGATAAGATAAAAAAAAAAGAACACACACTTACTATGTCTAGAAAGGCACTCTGATATCTTGCAATAGATCGGTACACATTAAGGGGAACAGATATTCTGGACTCCTCTTTGCTTTGGCATTGCACTGTGGAATCAAACGATGGAATGAACATTAACACTACACGCTCATGGTCAAGATGATTATCGTTTAGAATTGTAACAATCAATGAGTGAAAATTGAGATCAGCACATGACAAATGTTAGGAACATGAAAGGAGCTTTCTAGTGTTCACAACTTACCACCGCTGCTTCGAATGTGACGGTAAACAAGGTAGCCCACCGTGGCCCCCACAGAGAGGCCGGCAGCCAAAGCGACTTTCTTCCCCGAGCTCAGGCTCTTCCACGGCCCATCCTGCACCGCGGCCATCACTTGGGTGGGACCGACCGGGGAACTCCACCTAGAGATAAAGAACAAGCTGTGAGGTCCACGAAAAGACTTGAACTTTGGACTGCACCCTGTACATCTTTACATGGGCCTTCTCAATAGTGCCATGCAACACAAAGGAATTGTTAACGACAACTGCAAAGACGGGTCTTCTGGTTGCCTTTCAAACATAGAACAAAACTTCTGAACACTCATCTATGAGATTAGTTAGCCTAATTTTTGTTACCTAATTGGCTCAATGAGGAGAACAAAGATCACATTTCACAAACACTGAGACTTTAATGCCCCAATAATTGGGTTTTGGACATTAAAGCATGTGGAAACCTTTTCTGGAATATATCAGATCTTTCAAACAAAGCATAGGCTATTTAACAACACAGTCTTTTATTCAATTAGATTTTAAAGTTCAAGCACACAGTAGAAGCAGTGCATTGGACAAGGCTGCAACACACTTTGCCATCTTGCAGTAATGGCAAAATTCAAATCTAACAAACCAAATTAAAATGAATTCAATTTCATTTTCATGAGGTATTTATGCAACAACTGCACTAGAAGAGGGATAAAGCCAAGCTTCGGTGCATTATTGAAGCATAAAGCAGTGGCTGACACACAGATGTCGCAGATTCACACATTGAAGGAGCAACACCATGCAGAATGATTCTCACTGTGAAAACAGGGCAGTGGGGCTGTAGTTCAGAAACACACAAGGTTTAGGGACGTCCATGTCCATCTTGTTTGCCTCTGCCTCAGGAGGAACAGGCAAAAAAGTGAAATATGATTAAACACCAGCTGAATGAGTCGTTCGGATTCCTTACAGCATGACAGGAGCTCCTTGCTTAGGATACCTAATAAATGACCGTATTGGACCTTTTTCAGACTGTGATGACGTGTTGGCAGTGGCACTAAATGACGCTGTTGTTTTCTAATAAAACTACTGAGGGAGTGTAGTGACTGAAAATTTGACCTTATTCTCTCTTCTGACCAACGTAATAAATCTCTTTATATTTTTCCCCTCTTTTGGAAAGTCATAGAAACACTGAGAACCTGGGAAATGTGAAAAGAGTCCATTAGCACAAGGACCTAGAAGACCACGTATTATTTTATACTTGTTCAGAATGAGAGCAAAAACACATTGCTAATCATTCATTTACAATTTATTGAATGTTTAGTGAATGTTTGTTCAAATGAAATGATATTTAGATCCCTCAAAATAAACATCATTCCAGAATCCAGTAATCTAATGTGATTTTTTATTTTTACAATTAAAAGATTAAATAATTATATGCATCCAGCATGGTTATCGTTAATTAAAACTTAAACTGTTCATTTTGAAATGTTACCTTAGCATTGGCAACTAACTTTAAAGAAAAAAGTAAAGCTATAGGCCTATATATAGCTATAAAACTAAAAAAAAGCCAAATACTCAGAATTTCTACAACTTAAACTAAACAAAAAAATGAAAATATCAATAAAATATAATACTGTATTCGTATATAAATAATACAAATGTAACACTGTAAGCAATCTAATGTGATGTATTTGTAATGTAATCATCTGAAAGATTATCATAAAGATAGGTATGGTAGAACAAACCAAATCAGTAAGTATAGACAGCCATATTAAAGAAAGACATTTTTGATAATCCATAAATAAAACTTTGTCAACTGGCCCCAAAAAGAACACATTTAAACCAATTTAATATTTATAGGCATCAATAAAGATTTTATAAATTGTATATTGTCAGATTATCTATAAGCAAATATATGAAAAACTCAGATTTGGGTGGGGGGGACAGGGTGTAGATGGAGGTCAAATAATACTTTATTTGCACGTAGGTCTGATTCACCTCACTAGGGGTTTAGCATGTGCACAAATAAACAAGCCATTCTCGTGCATCAGTTACATCGGCCTTTGCCATTTTCTTTTGCTCAGTAGAGCTGTAATTTGTATCACTGCATTGTTATCAAATATTTGCATATAAAAGCTTTAAAACGGCACCTGTTGTGCATCATGCACGTGAATATGCGTGTGGAATTGTTAATGCAGCGCCCGTTAGCATGTGATGGATGTCATGTCACACGGGTGCGGTGTATTTCTCGCCTCTTACTACAATAGATCCGTTGTATAGCCGTACAGGTATTAAACAAATAAAAATAAATGTCTGACAATGTTTTGTTTGGCTGGATCATGCCTTAACAACATATAAAGCAGGTCGTGTGGACTTTCAACAGGATATCTTCACAAGAAGGCTAATGCAGTGAACACCAGAAGCAGATACAGCACTAAAACATACATTCCGACATATTTACCTCTAACAACTGTATAAACTGTGAGGAAATCCTCGTAGCGAGTCCTTCAAATGATCTTATGACACCCGTCAGCGTGCTGCTCATCCACAGGCGCTGCCTTGCTTCAACGGCTGAACCTTTCAGCAATGATTGGCCACCACCGTCAAACACTTCATCCAATCACCATCTACGATGTTGCGGCACCCGTTTAGTGTGGGAAACGCCCTCTGCTGGACGATTATAGTAACACACATGGCGAGTGGATAATGCCAGTAGATGCCACTTGCCATACACGGATAACCTACCGAAGTCGACAGTCGTGTAGGCCTACTTTTACGTGCGTTGGGTACCCCTCTGTCACGTAAAAGTACCACACTAAATTAATGTCTATTTTTACCCCTAGCTTTTCTTATCTTTCCTTTGTTATCTTTTTAATCAATCATTCTTCTCTTGTGTTCTGATGACATTGAAAATATCGTTGATACAAATTTTGTATTGTATTATATGTCATTTATGTCTCTGAATGACATTTATGTCTCTGAAAAGACATGTCTTTTTTCTTAATTCACTCACTTTCTTTCTACCATCAAAGTCACAACTTTTTGCACAAATATTAACAATAACTTTAAAGTTGAACAGATAAATTCATTAATTGTAACCTATAAACATAATATTCTGGAAGGTGTCATTCTGAGTTTTTACTTTTGAAGGTGGTAATAATTTTAATTAACACAGTTGACCATATTGGGCGAATACACAATATGAAACTATTCACAATAGTGTTTACAGGAGAAGGTGACAAGAAATTATTTTAATAGCCTATTATTTTCAAGAAATCAACTAGACAGGGAAATAGTATTTTAGTCACAAAATGCAAAACAATATAGGTTTATGTTAAAATGTAAAATGTTGAAAGTCAAAAACGTCGCAGTTTGTCATGAAACAGAAGAGTCGCTTCATTTATTGATAGAAAATGTGCGCCTTTGGGGTTTGTAGTCTTTGTAATTACGTATTTTCACAGTCTTAGACCTCAAATTTTGCACGGTTTATAGACCAATATTCAGTTAATGTACAAGCTTTTCAGTCAATATATACAGTCAATACTACTTTCCTAATTGTTCTAGTACCACATTAAGGACTATAAAAAATAATAATTTGATATTCTGCTCTCAAAAGTAATGTCTTGCTAAAATAATTCAGAGCTATGCATAAACATAGCTTCTACTGTTCAGTTTATAGGAGACTTTCTGAAATTTAAAAAAATGCATTAATTTAACCCATTTAATGCATTTAATTTAATGCATAAATTTTTTTCTTCACATTTTGCATTATGTAAAAACAGAGGTGCTGGCAGAAGTGGGCAGTGGATAATCGGGACAGTCAAATATTACAATTTCACAAGTGACATGTTTTATGAAACGGCAAAATGATTTAATAATAAATTAAACAGCACACATTTGTTTTAAAAAGAAAGAACATATTTATTAGCATAACATTGGTTCAAAAATAATCTGCAGGGAAGGGAAGAAATCAATGTTAAAGACATCTTAAAAAAATACAAACTGTACAACATTTATAAATCTTATGAACATTCATAAATAGCAAATATATCTGTATGTTGAGTCAATCGGTGTAGTTTGTAGCCCAAACATGTATTTTGAAGAGAGGTTCTGATTCACACTCCTGGCTTAAATATTACAGCCTTTCTGACTGATGGAAAGCATCAGCAACATTTTTAATACATGCATCACAGAGTCAACATATTCAATATCCAGCAGAAAAATCAAGAAACCCTTGCATTCTAATGGTCTTCATCATGCATACATCAGGAAATAAGTGAAAAGAGAACATTTCAAAAACAATTACAAAAAAGTGAACTGTACAAAAACGCTGCTCACAAACTCATATCCCAAAACTTTTTTTTCCTGTTACCACAACAGTTTGTACATAACAGATCAGTGCTTCCTGAAACAAATTTCTTTCTACGGTGATATGTTTTTAAAAATTCTTAATTGTACATATTGTTATACCACTAAACCAGCACCAATTCAGAGCCTCTGGACTTCTTTTTTATTTAAGTAGTTTCTAAGTTACACAGTCGTGGTGCTGAGCAGCCTTGTGGCGTAAACATCAAACCACAGCAATAATTATGTAACCTCTAAACACATCAATAGACCTGGTGAATGAGCAAGAAAGCATGTAACAAGCATTGCAAAAATGCACTACGTACTCTTATGAATATTCAGTGTCTATGACAATCTCTAGATGTGTTATGGAAAAGGCGGTTAGGTTGCAATCATTTGCTGTTAAGATGTACAGACATATGTAATCATTTTAAAATAAATACAACAGTAGATTAGAGGTTACAGTATATGCATCTGTGATTTAACAGCAACACAGGAACAAAAAGGATATTAAGTTAAGACATCTTTCGGTTCATTACGTAGAAAAGGGGATAGACTGTGGCTCCCAGGAAAGGCAGCTTCTACAGAAAATACTAACTGAGTTTTGACTTTAGGTTCTAAATGTCCCATGATACCTGTACACATCAGTCATTTTAAATATGCCACTTACACAGGATTAGCAGCAACTTAAAGGGACAGTTCACCTAACAATTCAAATTCAAGTCAATTAAAAAAATTTATGAAAATTAATTTGGTGATTATTCACCATCATGTGATTTCAAACATGAATGATTTCTTTCTTCTGTGATTTAGTATATTAAAAAGTCTCTGAATTTTTTCCCATCCTTACAACAAAAGTCATTGGTATTTAAAAGCAGTTTTGAATACCACTGACCTTCAATGTATGGATAAAAAAAGGGTCGACATTCTACATTAGGGAGAATAATTAAAGTCAAACAAGTTTGGAAAGACATGAAGATGCATAAATGATGAGTGTTTTCATTTTTGGCTGAACAACCCATTTAAATTCTCCATTTGATGAGTCTATGGTAAATATTATATGCTGGAGAATTGCACTAGTATTGGAAAAAAATGAATGCTGGTAATTTGGAGATTAGCTGGTCACTGTCAGACAATACATTTGCATGTATCGTTTAAATATGTACATCTGGTGACACTGTAAGTGAGCCCCTTATACTCCATAGCTGCAGCCCAACTGGATCAATTAGAATAATACAACTTCATGAAGTTGCCTAGAATTATTTATAGAGAGGCAATCAAGATAGAGGTAGAACACAATAAAAATTGAATATCCCTCTTTACCAGTAAACACAGAATTCTCTGGACAAAATAATAACAAAAAATGTAAATGTTTAAATTAAAATGAGCCTGACCCCATCCAGAGTTAGCTATTTTCTTTACAGAACATCAGAAATAATTATCTTGAAAAAGAGATTTAGTCGTCTGGCATCCAAATGTATCCCAAAATATTCAGTGCATTCTGGCTTACAATCACGTATGTAAAAACATTAAAAATGTCTCTTTAGACATAGTGAAAACAATTCGAGTTGGAACATTCTTCCTTCAGCTTTTTCAAGCTTTTGCTTTGCCTGATTAAAAGCCTATGTGTTTTAATTAAACTTAAGAACTTAAAGTAAAAATAGTTTAATAGAAGACTAAAAAAAGCATTTCATCTTATTTGGATCTGTAAAAGAAATTTCAAACCTGACTGAGTTTATGTAAGCAAGAAAAATATTTTGCACACAGTCTCACATTGACTGGCTGCACTTGATTTTGGAAGCAAAGCTTCTCAGCTAAGTTGCTCTGGCAGATATATTCACATAAAAAAAAACTCACTTGTGTATCACGATCACAAAGAATTAAATCTTTTCCCTCTGAATATGAGGTAAGTTGAGGCGATGACATTCACATTGTAGCCTGTTAAAACAGACTTTAACAAGCTCTTACGACATAGTAAATGAACTGCACGAGTGACGGCTAAAATACGAACACAGAGCACCTACAGCTAAAGCTCATCGCATGAGCGGTCAATTGTCTCGTGTTTGAAACAGAAATCAATAAAATCTCCATTTCACAGCGAATAAAAAAAAAATCATGCTAATTTAGCCCTCAATTGCACATTTTGGTATTCATTTGCAATATCATGCATTACTTTGTGGATTCGAGGGGATAAAGGAATGGCCTTATTGAAAAACAATGACCCTGTCCAAACCAAAGCAGCATGCAGGTGAACATCCCTCAAACAACATTTTTGTAGGCTGTAGTCAAAATAAAGGATCTCACAGATTAAAAACGCAGCCCTCAGTGGCGTTCATGGCAGAAATAACATTCCGACCATTGGAGGTGTCGCAGGAAGAGCTCCGCTGAAGGGTATCCAAAGGAACCGTGATCTTATCCACCACAAATACGACCAAGCCGTCCTGTACAGACCAGGTCAGAAGGGAGAGTTCATTCCCAGCTTAGTCTCAAACTGAAGCTTCTGTCTCTTCTGGTAACGCACTCGTACCCTGAAATCAGAACCAGATTTGACTGGTTATCAAAATCTAGCTCTGGGTTAAATGATTAATGGTTTATGTAGGCTAAATTTAGGCATATTTAAAGTTGAACTGAAATAGACATTTCAGACAAAAACACGTTCATAAATTAATATGAAATCATATTTATTGAATAAATAGTGAATGAAGACTTAAGTCATGCGACTCCAGTCATACGCTATAAGTCAGCAACTGTCAGAAAACATGAAGTTTAGCAAATTATCATGTTTAATAAAAGAGCTACAGTGGCTTCCTCAGTGGTTACAACGTTCATTTTCATTTCTATTATAAGTGCCGATTTTATTTTTATTTATTTATTTATTTTTTGTTTATTATTCACGTATTGTATTTGCCATATGCTGATTTTTGACAGATTAAATTTGCAACTTGTGAACCGAACATGACACGGCAAGTTTGAATAAGAACAAGATGAGATTTCAGAGCTATGGTAAAGGAGAATAACACTTTCAGAGTCACATGATTCTTCAGACATAACTCTAGTGTGTTGAAAACACTGACATATATTTGTGGAAACCATGATACATTTTTTCCAGGATTCTTTGATGAATAGAATAAGCATGTATCGGAAATATAATTATTTGATAACATTATAAATGCATTTACTGTCACTTTCGACAGTCATACAGGTTTGGAACGACAAAGGTGAGTAAATGAAGACTGAATTATCATTGGTGCCCTGTACATTTATCCTCTTACCTGATTTCATGCAGTTTGACTGCTTCATTGATTAGCACCACAAGTACGATGGACAGAGAGACTAACAGCCAGACAAACAGGGGAATGTGATGTAGAGTGAAGACCACTTCTGCACTCCTGTCCTGCCACAATTGATAGTCTATCAAAGCCTGCACAACCTGTCCCAACAACCTGTGAGGGGAAGAGAAGAAAATCCAGAATGAGTTTGTGTTAACATGTGACTCTGCTAATGAAAACAACATTCTCTACATGAAACACTCACACCACAGGCACTGTGAGACACCACCATGTGTTACTGAATGGGTTCATCCTCCAGAGGGGTTGTGAACGGTGTACATAACTCAGAGAGATGACCACTGCAAGAGAGCGAGAGAAATAATAAATAACATGACTATAAATAGATCATGTTTTAAAAAAAAATCCAAATCCATCTAAATAAGCCATCTAGTAACTATTCAAATGAGGTAGTGTATTTTATTAAAGTGACCTGTGTGCAAAGCTAGAAACCCTGCCATGATCTTCTGGATGAGAAGCAGGCCATTGGACAATTCACCAAACCACTGCGGGGCATCCTGGGAGCTATACCGGTATATGAATCATTGGTTAGAACTCATAACTAATTCATATAATCTAAACACAGAGAAAGTTACATTTTAGTGTGTGCATGTACCTGGATGTCAGAATGTGGGAGCATGTTATGTTGCTGTTATCAGTTTTTGTGAGGTTAGCAGCTCTAGAACACACTTCCTGTAAAGAAAACCCAAAGCCGACTAAGTAGGCCAACATCGTCAGACCAAACTTCAACAGGAACCAGCCCAGGAAGTAGTGCTGGGTCTGTGGGAGAGAGTCAAACATAACATGAATGCACATGTGTGTGAAAATTAGCAGAGTTTCCATTACCCTTCAAATTGTACGTATTGAAATTCGCACAATGGAAACACGTCTGTTTCGCAAAAACTCCCGTTTATCGCAAAAAAGTTTTTCCGCTCGCATGAGGAGGTTTTTCAGACAATTCGAAAAAGGAATATTTCGCAAAACTGCAATAGAAATGGGTTTTGCGCATTTACAGTCACCTGACTTAGAAGACACGGTGTGTTCGGGGTCCGTGTACGCAAATTATAATAATAATTATCATCATTATTATAACATTTATTAGGCTACATATGTAGAAGATCCTTTTATCCAAAAAAGGAACAAAGCAATTTGTCACATCTCATTCATAATACAGGTTGGACAGTAATAATACAGGCTAAGATTATCACAAATAAACACAAGGTTTTGACACATATCCAAGTGTTTGTGCGAGTGTGGAGCGCACACTGGATGGCAGAGAGGTGCGGGCGCAAACACTTGCATTTTCCTATCAACAGTGGAAACAACTTAAAATACTCTCATTTCTGGTCATACAGAAAAAAATAAAACATTATTCGCAACTACTTTTATTTGCGTAATGTCACAACAACAAGAAACGTTGTGCTTTCGTAAAATAATATAAAACAATCAGGCGCGCTTTCATGATCTCTGTGAACTGGAGCACGAGAACTGAAACAAAATATCACCTATGTAGGCTAAAGCTTGAAATGTCCACTTTAAAACGAACAAATTTGAATCGGAATGTTCCTTCTGATTATGTAATCCGTGAAAGATGCATTTCTCTCTAAAGGTGCACCCGGAGATGGAAATATGTTTTTAGCCGACACTGATTTAGAAAACAATAGTTTATTAATAGACAATTCAAATGCTTGATTATTTTTTCAGACACATTTATTATAGCCTATAACTCACCTATAAATCACCTTTCTGTAGGCTGTAGTTCCTGAGACATATCTGGCTCTTCTCATTTAGCACTGCGGGAAAAATATCATTTCCAGGTTCTAATTTGGCCTTAGAAAACCAGTAAAATCTATTTTTTCCCATATTAGTTTTGTGAATATTTTAAATGTTTAATGAAGGGGTAAAAAGTCATAAACAAATATCTGAAAATTAATTGATTTTTTTTTTTTTTTTGCGCAGCATTTGGTGTAGTTCAGTTCAAATTAAAATTTTGGTGTTAAACTGCGTTTTAAAAATACAACAACCATTCATTTTTCGTTTCGCAATTACGGGTTAAATAAGGGAAAACGAATGAACACAAAAGTACACTGACGGTTTGGACATAATACGAGACAGAGTTTTTTATTAAATTCATAAAAGAAACAATTACAGGAATAGTACTAGACTAGACTACTAGACTCTAAAGCTCAAAGAAATGCCACAATCAAGGCCTTGGAGAAGAAATGAGGGAGAAATACTCTGTCTTTCCCTGCCATTAATGCTTAGATATCACACCACGTCTCCTTCCATTAATAATAATAATAATGTCTAGTGCGGTGGCTGTGATAAACCTACCAACGTCCGTTGCCATGATTTTTGGAATGACTTATCGCGAGAGGAAAAAAAAGACGTTTTAGACGCATAACATCGGTTAATGGAAACACTGTTATTTCACAATAGTTTTTTTATCGACATTACGAAAAATAGCAAAGGTTTTGTGCAAATTTGTAATGGAAATGCAGCTATAGTTTAAATAGTTTGCAGTTTAAATCGGGTGCACTGTGTGGTATCATGACTGACCTTGCGTGGTATGGAGTCCAGATTCTTTCCAGTAGCGACTGTCATCACCGAACTGTCAGGAGGTTTTCCCAGGAATGACACGCTGTGAATGGCCAACATTTATATATATATATATAGGGCACAGATATGACACAATGTACAAGTTTGACAACAAGTAGGCATCTTTTTTTGTCACTACTTCTCTATTACCTTAGCAGAGGGTAACAGAAGCAGGAAAGCCACAGTATGTCTGTGATGTTCATGGGAGGAGGCAGCTGAATAAGGCAGGCCAGGAACTACAAAACCAAAACATCAAGGGTACACATATAAATAAAGAATGTACATAACACGCAGGTCTGTTATGGACGCAGTGTGTCTTTTCTCACCTGAATGATGACCAGTGTCAGTTGACACTGCAGTAGGAAGAGGAAGCACTTGCGAATGCCATAGGTAGTGTGTCTCGCCTGAAGATGCATCAGAAACAGCACTCACATTCAATCATTTTCCTTTTTTAAAACAGTTTTACTAGGCATAGTCTAATTATGATGGGGAAATGGGAATGGTCCTAATCATATTCTTTTTCAGTACATTGACATTTTTTTCTGCTTGAGCTGGGATGCGGTGGTTATCATATGTGGAAGATGCAGGTTTGAGTCTGGCATGCAACCACTCTACTTCTCCTAATAAATGAATGCCCACTCAGTCTTTTTTACATTGTGTACACAAAGAAACCAATTCCCTAAAAATATGTTTTCCTTTTGTTGTAATCACACATACTGTTCTGAAGTTTGGGGTCAGGAAGTTCTTTTTTTTAAAGGAAATTAATACTTTTATTCAGAAAGGATGAATTAAATTGATTAAGAGTGACAGTAAAGACATTTATAATGTTATAAAAGACTTATAAAAGACCATTACAAATAAAAGCTATTCTTTTGAACGTTCAAGTCTTAAGAATCCTGACCAAAAAAAAGTTTTTCACAAAAATATTAAGCAACACAGCTGTTTTCAAAATTGAAAATAATAAGACAAGTTTCTTGATCAGCATTAGAATGATTTCTGAAGGATCATGTGACACTGAACTTTGCACTTTGCCATCACAGGAATAAATTACATTTGATTTTTAAATTGTAATGATATTTCACAATATTACTATTTTTACTGTATATAGATCAAATAAATGCAGTTTTGTTGTGAGACTAAGAGTTTTTTGTTTGTTTTTTTTACATAAAAAAAAAAAAATCATTTTGACCCCAAACCTTTAAACAGTAGTAGTATAGACTAGGGGTATAGTATATACCTTTTTCCTATGGGGCATCCCAACCTGCAGAGTTCAGATCCAACAGACCTGTCTGTTTTTATCCAGTGCTCCTAAAATGTTGGAGCTGAACATTGCAGGAAGGTAACCTGACTACTTCAGACTTTGTACTTCCGCTCAATTTCAGTTAACTTCTGTACTCAGTCTGAGACAGCGACCCATCTCTCAGTTTTCCTCCGGCCTGAAAACAGCTGGCCAATCAACGAACAGAGGGCAGGCTGAGAGCCGTGACGTAGAGGCTAAGCACAGAGTTTAAGATTGTATTTTAGGTTAGGGAAATCGAAAACGACCGCGGATATGGAGATAGAAAAAGGATTAGGCTCCCCTGGTATAGATAAATGCACTGAATGAGCTTGTATCTTCTTGCTCCCATGTGACCAACAGCATTCCAGAAAAAAGTGTTTATGTGAGAGCTCCCCAAACCTGCTCAATGAGTTTGACCATGCTGACACTCTCGCCCTGATGAAAGGACACAGAGCAGGCAAGGCTGTTGAGTTGAGCACTGAGCCCCAGTGGAGACAGCTCATCACAGTCTTTATTCAGCCCGCAGCCTGCAGCATATCCAAACGTCTCCCACGAGCACCGGGACGGGTACAGGGGATCCAGGGAGATACTATAACACACAGAGTGAGGATTGAGGAAGTGTGAAATAATGGGAATTATGCAGACAAAAAACTCAACGCTATCTTTAAGCTTCTTGAAAATTACCATTATTTAGACTGTAGCTTTGCATAAGATTATAGGTCATATTTAATTGTGGTTTACAGTGATGTGTGTGCTACCCACCTGATGTCGCTCTGCAGGAAAAGGCAGCTGTTACGGAAGTTTGCGGAGCTCCCCAAACAGCACGTCACCTCTCTGTTCTCCTGCATGATCTTCATCATTTCACACATTGCTGTGAGACAAACATTTGAGGGCTCAACACAAGTACACTAGGATATAATAACACACATGGACTAAAACCCACAAAACTTAAATTTTCAATGAAAGGTGTCTTTAAAATAGGGGTGTAACAATATCATGCCACAATATATCGCAATACAAAAATGCCACAATGCGTGTTGTGGATAGCGACAATAAGTATCGTGGATAGTTCTCCCAAAATAAAAATTACTGTGTAAGAAAAGAGTGTCAGTACTACATTAAACTACTATACATAATGTTGATTATAATGTATAATAATGCAATGTGGGAATATTTGTGGGTCCTGATAATGCCAAATGTCTTCTGTAACCAGTAAAAAGTGGCCAACATTATTTGAAATATATCTAGTCAGTGACAGAGTGCAAGCATATTCGTCTAAAATAATTCTATAAAAATAAATATTTTTATTCTGGTGTCACCATTGTCCTTGGGTTAAACAGACCAAGCCTATTCATTTAAATCCACAATTTAATATCAAAGTTAGCATTCTTTGTTAACCTTTTATCATATGTCTTGGAGTATCGCAAAAATATCATATCGTGAGTTCAGTATCGTGATATGTAATGAATCATAACATGAGGGTATCGTTACAGCCCTACTTTAAAGTCACCCTGAATTTTTTTTTGTGCTTTTATTCAGCTTTTTTGTGTTTATTATAAATGATTTATCTGTGCACATCATTATTTTTCTTAAATTCATGTGCCTAATCTTTAATCAAAATAATGTCCCCACCCCCTCGCAACAACATCTCTTCTCTGACGGGGCAATAATCCCTCCCCTCCAGCAACCTGTCACTCACATGAGATCACAGTAAATTACAAACAATGATCCAATCGATTCCCCATGGACAAAATCATCTCCTGTCCTACATTTTTTCTCGTTCGACAAACTGTTTCACTCGGATATACAGTATGTCACAATGAGGGGACAAAATGATCACAAATTGTGTTTCATGTCGACTTTAAAGCTGGTCTTGAGGCTGACTCACTTTCAGGGGTGCAGTCTGTGAACAGGGGCACTAGTAGAGGCACATTGTCGATGTTCTTCAAATGAGGACGAACCTGATGGATGCCACGAGGCAGTTTGGCCTACAGAACAAATGAAAGGAAAAACCACCAATTATTCTTTTCACAACTGCAAGGCTGCTTTGTGCCTGCACGAAAAATTTTGAGTAAAGAGACAATGCCACATCAGACTAAATCAAGCATCAAAGTATACAGTTGTAATTGAAGGAAAATGCACCTCTGGGCAACATTAAACAGTCTATGTAAAGACAATGCTACTTCAGAAGCGCTTTTGTGCCACCTTTGCACTATAAATTTAGCAGTAGAGTCTGATGTGACAACATGCTTACTCTGTTGCAGTCCTCTAAGAAACTGGGCACATCACTGTCAGTAGGCTGGAAGCTTGCAAGATCGGATTGATCCTCAGGCAGTAGTGGGCCCTCTGCATCATCACGAGAATCTTAGAACAGAGAGATGATGATTAATTTGACTAAATTCCATATTGGGTGAAAATGCAGTTTATGTAAACTGTGTGCAGGCAGGGAGGAAGACACAATTACCCTGCATAAGGTCATCATGTAAGGATCCTGCTTGGCTAGGACTGGATGGAGCACCATCGCAGTGACCGTCTCCATTTGGAGTCAGAGAGATGTGACAGTTCCAGCCCGTCTCCAATCCCATCTTCTCAGCGAACACCTACAGGCAGACAACATTGAGAGGTAATAAAATATACATCCCAAATACATCAAGTTTACACCGAGTTGGTTTTCCCATCTGTGTCATACTTTGCTACGTAGCTCATCCTCCATGGAGAAGTACACAAAGCGGATACAGGCTCCCACCAGGTTCTCAATTAGCCGTACAGTGTCCAGACGGGCCTGGAACTGGGATGACACCATTCCCATGAAGATTTGGCCGCTCAGAGCTTGAACACAGTCCTCCTTCTCCAAACTTTCTCCAATACCCTCTGAAACACACACAGTACATTTGTCAGTTAGAGTTGGTAAGCTTGATCTATGTAAGCTTTTTTGTCTATGTATCAATGTATGTATCTATGTGTCTATCTATCTATCCATGTAATTATCTAAGGATCTAACTACGTATCAACATATCTATCTACATATAGATCTACATATCTATACGTCAGTCCATTCATCTACATATCTAGATCACATCTATCTATCTATCTATCTATCTATCTATCTATCTATCTATCTATCTATCTATCTATCTATCTATCTATCTATCTATCTATCTATCTATCTATCTATCTATCTATCTATCCCTACCATCAATAAACAATCATATCAAGATTTTTTTTCTTTACTGTCCAGATGATGAGCTGAACAGACCGTGTCTCTCTGTCTCTCACCATCAGAGCTCCAGCTGTTCCTGCGGCTGCCATGTTTGATGGGGGTGGTACTGGGAAGCTCCACCCCAGAAAAGAGTGCAGGGCCTGGAGCCAGCTCCACACACTTTCCATTGAGCTGCTCAGACAATGCCACCTGCATAGGCTTATAGGCAAATGCAGAACAATATCCTGACAGACAGGCACGTTGGTAGAAATCTAGAACCTTTTTCCTATGGGGCATAAGACCAGTACTTCAGTACTTCAATCTGCATTTTAAGAAAACTGAATAACTAGTGTCAGTCTTTTAAATAGTGTCTCTGACCTATCAGTGCCAGACAGCGGATAAATGTCCGCGCCGTCCCAGAAATCCGTGCAGGCTTCCAGGATGAGGTCGGCCGAGCCGTGGGAGAGCATCTGCACATTATCTGAAGAGAGTTCAAAATGCAAAGGTCAGTGACTAAACAAACCGCCAAGGATAAACAGGAAGTGGGACAGGAAAAAAGGGCCGTACTGGTAGTGCTGTCCCTAACAAACAGACTGATGAGGTGACTGATGGGGGGCTGGCGTTTAGTGAAGTGATTGAGGCGTCGAGGGGCAGATTCTTTGGCCTTCTCTCCTGAAGGGAGCTGGTACAGTGCCAGATGATTCTCATGCTTAAACAGCTCTCTCGCTCCCGGAGTGAAACCTGACATACAACAGAACAGGAAACAGCAATTCAAGGGTGCAACTAAAGTATGTGAAGATACAACATTACAACTGACTAGAAGCACAGCCAGACTAGATGCTGACCAATAACTAGGTACAGATTTTGCCAATTGATTTTAAATCTTTATATTCATTGCAATTAAAAATGTTGTTTATGTTGTTATATTATTGGAATCTTGGGATGGGGTGGCCCATAGAAGCTACAGGAGTACAGAATGAATAAAGACCCAAGTGCAGATTATTGTGCAACTAAAAATCATAACAATATAATAACTAGAAAAAGATTGCTTAGTATGATTTTTACCAATTACCAATAGCTACAAAAACAATATCATGACCATGTATGTTTATTAACATGCTCTCACACTTACCTATAAGGCGAGATAGTTCGCAGAGGCCCCAGGGAACGTGAACGGGGAGAACCGCCCCATGGCATTCCTGCAGTGCCAGGTTGGACAGGTGATCTGAGAATCGGCAGAGCTGCTGGGTGACGGTGACATTACACAGGTTCAACAGGATGTTCAGGCCAAGGGGCTTCAAAGAGGGCAGGTGATTGTGCCAACCGGAGTCATCAAAGAGGATGCTGACGGGATTCTGCTGATCCTGGGACAGGCTCAGCATCTCCAGATGATAGTCACACACAAAATCTTCTGCTTCACACAGATCATCACCCACACCGCATGGCTGGAAATAGAGACATACGTTCAAAACACATGAACACAAGTGCATAGTGATGAGCTAAACTAGCTCTGCAGGAATAGTATACCTGAGGAATGTCATCTCCACCCTCAGTGTCATCTCTGAAACTGACGTTGGAGCCCGATGGGTGTTTGGAACGGGTGGTTTGGGGTCCTCGTCGCTGGCGTTGAGTGTCTGAGGAACGGGCGGTGTCATGTGACGTCTCACTGGGTTCCTGCTCGGCCATGTGAAGGGAGGGCTCAAATGCTGGTAAACACAGCAGTGCTTCACCTTCCTGAGGCTAAACAGGAAGAAAAGAAAAAAATATAAATTTTCAAAACTTCTGAACTAACTTGATTCAAATGATCATAATTAAAAGAAACTGTAATTATGATGCTTTAGTCTAGCTATCTATCAGTAGTACCTCATCTCGTTCCTCCTCGCCCTCTGTCCTGCAGAGGGAGTTGACCGACAGGTCGTCTCTGAGGTCATCCTGGCTGTCATGAGGAGGCTCTACTCGTCCGCTGAAGAACAGCACGGTCTCAGGACTGGGGTTGGGCCAGGACAGAATACCCTGCTTATCCACACAGCATAGCACCTATGAGTGGGTCAGGACATATAATAAAAGAAGATACTTCATTACCAGTTAATAAAACATATGATTCTTAGAATTGAAATTAATATTAGGGGAATAAATTCTAAACTACATTTCCTATCAAGCATGAGAATGGTAAAACACTTCATTTTAATAACTAATGAATATCCTTCGCTAGTTATGTCACGCAATACAACATATGCTATGTTTATATGGCATTCTTTTAAAATGATTTGTAAATGCATTCCATTTTATTGGTCAAGACGATCTGCTGAAGATCAAAATGAGCATCAGAATGGGGAAGAAAGGTGATTTAAGTGACTTTGAGCGTGGCATGGTTGTTGGTGCCAGAGTTTCTCAGAAACTGCTGTTCTACAAGAATTTCACACACAACCATCTCTAGTGTTTACAGAAAATGGCAGTTCTGTGGCTGAAAATGGAAGTAATTTCTTTGGTTTCCCCGCCATCCACACCTGAGTTCTGATGTTCTTGTAATAGAAAGTAAAAAATGGTAAAGCAACGTAATGTACTTTATATGTCAAACAATTGTGAAATTCAACATGCTTTCTCAATGAGTGTAAAAAAAAAAGAAGAAAACATTTTGATTGACCACTTTTTTAAATAGTTTCCTCTTCCTATTTTGGTGTCTATAGCAGTTACGGTAGTGCTATAATTTGAAAATTAGATTGAAAATAGCAATAAATGGTCTTTTAATTAGTATTTATTTTTAAAGTCAATATTGATCTTTTTATTTTCATCAAATTGCAAGTAGGAAGTGTAATATGTTTACATGACATGGCCAGGGGCACTCACAGTGACGGAACCCAACGAGTGCAGCAGACTGGAGGTATAACAGAGGGTCTGGGACTCTCCTTTCAGCACACTGACCAGGTGTCTCCACACACAGCGTAGCATCTCCTGCAGAGAATCGCGCACACACACACACACACACACACACACACACACGGTTTGAGTCGCATCATCTACCCTGACAGAAACTTAAATCCATGCATCAGTACCTCTGGGTTTTGAACGGCTCTGCAAAAGTGTCAGAATTTATGAAAACTAGATGTTATCCACTGACAAAACACAACAAACAAACACACAGACACACACACACACACACACACACACACACACACAAAGAGAAGACCTATAAGACAAGGCCTTGAAGAATTAGGCAGGGAGGGAAAAGCAGCAGTAGCATGTCCAGTCTTGGGTTTGTTCTGGTGCGTTCAGATATTTAGAGGTGTTTCATTAAGATAAACACACCTTGCAGCAGTAAAAGGGAGAGAGAAACTGAATCACAGACGATTTTAAAGTGAAGCAAACAAAAGAAAGCTTGAGGCAGCAGCTACAGGAGAGCAGCACTGTGAAGCAAGAACTGAAAACAGTTAATTGCAGGCGAATATAGCTGACGCACATCAGATGTCCAGGAATCCACCTTTAAAGTCAACAATACATAATTCAACTCAGTTTCCTAATGCATGTTTCTGCATCTCATTGTGAATGTGTCATCAGTGCACATACTTCTAGAGAAAAAACAGTTGTCTTTAACACATAATGACTCACAATGTGTCTATATAATGGGTTCGATTTACTTTTGTCGTGCCACGCCACTCGCGTCTAGTCTAGACAACAAGGTGTTAGTCCGCCCATGGAACAACTTTTCTTTTCCAATGACAGCTATTAGGATGTGTGAGCTATTAGATAATGTCAACTAACAACCAAAGAGCTATTTAGGTAATTGGGCAAACTCACACATATGGCTCCATTCAGACAATTTGTAAAATGGAGAGCCTTTTATTGGACATTAACATATGTTTAAAAAAATATATTTATATTTTAGACTGACGTAATGATGCTGAAAATGTAGTTTTGCCATCACAAGAATAAATGACACAATAAAATATATCAAAACATAAAATGGTTCTTTTAAAATGTAATAGTATTTCACAATATTACTGTTTTTACAGTATTCTTTTATCAAATAAATGCAGGCTTGGTGGTGATCATAAGAGACTTATGATTAAAGACACCTCATCAACCCCAAACTTTTGAACATTAGTGCATTCATAAAAATATATCTAAATATTTTGGCTAAAAAGTTTACTTTAAAACTTTAGAAGTTTAAAAGTTTTAAACTTTAAAAGTTTAGCAAACTCTATGGAGTATAGTAGTATACAGATGACTCAACCGAACACAAAAAGCCACAAAATCTCTCACACACACACACTCAAACACACACAGCTGTTCAATAAACCAATGAGAATTTTATGAAGACCAAACTTTTTAAAACGTTCCTGTTTGTATTACAAAGTTTTTGAAATAAGATAAGAAATTAAACCAAAAAACACCGCAGAATTACTTTCAGCCCGTTCATATGTCTGATCTCTCCATGCAGACAAATACTTACCATACTGGAAATTTGAAAGGGGAAAAAAAAGAGTCTTGTTCATGCAGAGGTTCTCCAAATGTACATTAATTGAAAAATGTAGTCCAGACAAGCACCACCACTATTGAGAGCATATACTCTATCATGCAAACCTCAGGCAGGCGGAAGGTGGGCAGGCAAAGGCCAAGGGGTCACAGCTCAGTGTGGGGGAGCCAAACTAATCGGCAGCGCAAGAAGCAAAAAATATGCAAATAAATAATAAAGATTGCGGGAGTATTGGCTGATTTTGCAAACTTGATCGAACAAAGTGAGATGAAGTGGACGAGTCTTTTAAAAAAAAAAAATTTGAACAAACAAAGAAATGGTGGTGAGGCAAATAAATAAAATAAAATAACAGGCTCTTTTTATAGTGATCCTTTGATTTAGACAAGTTGAATAAAAATAAGAAAACAAAAAAAGTGAAGAAAAGGATGACGGCTGTGGGAGGGTCCAGAGCAAGGGAGACGGATCACAAGAAGCGTGTGGTGAACAGGTGGGAGAGGAGGAATACAGAGGATATACCTGGGAGGACACCACTTCCGTGTAGCTGCTTAGAGTGTCCTCAGAAAACTTAGCAAGCTGGGACAAGAAAAAAGTCTGATTAAACACCTGAGCAGATGATCAGCTCTCCGTTTCAACTCTGGCCAGATCGCTTCACCTCAGCTCTGCAATCCCTCCCTAATCCTCCCTAATACTAGAGTCAGATTGGCCAATGAGCGTTACTTCCTCATGCAGTGTTATGGCTGCAAATCAAAGTTAATACACACAGCAATCATAGATAGAGCGAGTTATAATTTAGCAGCAACATACGTTGGTGTGGGATTAGGGAGTTATGAGAGTTGTTTATGTGTGTGTGAGAGAGAGAACTGTTAATGAACAGCAAAAAGTGAGAGGAATGAATATGTGGTGTTCTGTCAGTCTGTCTTACCAGGCCAGTGGGAGAGTTACGGCTGGACTCGGCTAACACACGGGCCTCTCCATACGCATTGACCAGAACCCACATGACAGGAAACAGAAGAGGTAAAATAGGCAATACACCCATCATCTGTTCATCAGAGAGAGAGCAAGAGAGACACAGAAAGAAAGATCCAAATTCACTATGAATATCAACATTGTTGTGCCAAATAAAAGTTTTGCATCAAATGTCGTGTCTTAAATTCTAGTTATTATGTCTCTCTGTGCAGTCTTTGAAAAAAACGAAACAAAAAAAACATGCATATTGAAATATCGGAATATTTACCAATAATAGTCCTTAGATACATTAGAACAGCGATTCTCAACCTTTTTGACTCCAAGGCCCCCCACTGGGCACAAAATTATTCCAGGGCCTCATGGCACTGGATAAGGATTAAGAATAAGGATTTTTAAAGGGTTAGTTCACCCTAAAATGAAATTCTGTCATCATTTACACACCCTCATGTCATTCCAAACCAATAATAAGACATTCCTTTATCTTTGGAACACAAGTGATTTTTAATGAAATCTGAGAGTTGAACTACCCCTACCGCAACTACTACTTTCAAGCCCCAGGAAGCTAGATAAGGCATCATAAACGTAATCCATGTGACTCCAGTGGTTTAACCTCAATTTTATGAAGCAACGTGAAATTATGTTGTTTTTTGTGCGCAAACAAAGCACTCAAGTCACTTCATAAAATTGAGGTTATACCATCGGATTATTTTAATTATGTATTTCTGAGGATTGAAAGAGGTAGTTGCGTAGGCTATCAATTGAGAGACTACAAACTCTCAGATTTCATTAAAAAGATTTTGTTTTTGGGTGAACTAAACCTTTAACACCAGTTTTAACTCACAAATTCTACCTGATTCAACCTTTTAGAGCTTGGTATAAAATGTAAATGAATAAAATCTTAAAAAAACAAGGGGAATTTTTCTAACGACTATAACGTAACATGACTTTTCCAGGTCTAGAAATCACACCTTTTAAAATAAGGCAACCTCATGTTGGAAAAATGAAGACAGTGAGAACCCTGATTCTTCATTAAAATAAGGGATGAATTAGCATAAAAATGATCTTGATTTTTGGTTGCTTTGGCTTGTTTTGATCTTGAGGCTCTTGGAAATTTTGAGGCCCCGACCCTGTGGTTGATAACTAGTTTTTGAATGATGTTTAAAAAAAACAAACAAAAAAAAAACTATCATAAATAAAATACCTCAGATTTTATAACATATCACAAGGATGTGCTACAAGAATCTCGCTGCCATTACAACAAAACTGCTTTCCTAAATTGACCATTGTATTTAGATTTCACAAACAGCCTCATGGAAAGCATTTTTGTTGCTTGATTTTGTTTAAAACGATCATACGAGTATTGTCACTTTCCCACAATGCCCTTCAAGGGTGCAATGTATTATATATATAACCGCAAATAATCGCATCCAAAATAAAAGTTTGTGTTTACATAATATATGTGTGTGTAGTGTGTATAATTATTTTGTATATATAAATACACACATATGCATGTATACATTTAAGAAAAATGTGTTATTAATATATCAAATATTTATATTTATGTATAATATATATTTTGTATAAATATATATAAAGTATATACATGCAAATATTTCTTAAATATATACATGTGTGTGTATTTATATATACAAAATAATTATACACACCACACACACATATAATATGTAAACACAAACTTTCGGATGCGATTAATCGCGATTAATCGTTTCAAAGCCCTAATAAATATATATTAATAAAACAAATGCATTGTGATTTACTATTATCAACCTGTAATTGAAGGAAGTTGAAGGGTCCAGGGGTGAGACCAGGAGTGTCACAGAAGAACCGGATCGTGTTAATAGAGAAAAAGGCCACCTATAAATGAAAAAGTTGACAAAAGATCATAATCAGCAAACAGACAATTTGTAAATGTTATGAACATTAGTCCCACTTCACACTTCTTGCATCTGGACCATGTGAGTGGTGCAAAAGCTTTTGTACTGACAGATGATTGTACGTGCCTTAATACAAGATAATATGCAAAAGATTGGTTGATAAATAGGTTTAGGAGGCAAATTTTCCCTTATTTAACTCATACATACTACTTGTTAATACAGAAATCTGTTCAAATGGGTGTCAAAATGGATGTAGACAGGTGTTAAACTTTGCAACACATTTTAAAAACTTAGTTCATGTGTTTAATTTTATCATACCAATACAGCAGGACAGGCGAATTTAGCAATACTGGACTGCACAGTGAACCGTTCGTTATCGAGGGCTGTGATTGGACGGGAGAGAGCCATATCAAGACTGTACCTATTGGCCAGAAAAAGGTTATTAATTACTAGTGAGAAAATAAAATTGTTCACATATCACAAAGAAAAAGGTGCAGTGAAATAACTAAAAGTCTACTTGTTTGACTCCACTGAGGTATTAACCTGACACTGTCGAGTATAGGTGTGCGCACCACCCTGAAGAGGCGGTACTGCTGAGGACTGTGGGGGCCCCTCCGCTCATTCACGCGTGGGGAGGGAGGAGGGGAGAATGGCGGAAAAAGGTCTCCAGGCTCCAGCACGATGTGTTCGTCGTCCTGGTAACATATAAAGATTCAGTGATTCAGAAGAACAGAGTTAAAGAGCCAGAAAACCCGAGAGAAACACTCTTATTCTCCAAGGTTTTGTACCGTTTCAGATTCCAGTACAAAATACCAGTATTGCTACTTCAGTTAAATCATAATAGTTTAATACTGGATCTGGATAGTGTAACACTATTTCCTAACCATTTTCTATTTCAAGGGCAACACGCTATGTAGCCCTGCCTAGTCGAGTCACTTTATGTATATAGCAATTTAAACAATACAGATTGTTTTAAAGCAGATTTATAGTGATAAACAGGAAAATTACAATTCAGTGATGCAAACTGAATTCAATTCTGTTGTAAAGCAGCTCTAAAAAGACAATAGTAAGCAGTCGTGATTTAGCTGAAATCAGTTCAGTGTTGATTCACTTTGGTTCAATAACTGTGTTTTCCTCTGGCCAACTAACAAACAGTGTATGATTATGATTCAGACTGCAAAGTCAAGTCAACCTACTGAAATTGGTCCAGCATCCCACTCCACAAATAAAGTTGAGCATTAAATATCAAATACTTCCTGGTTGGCTGTGATTGTGTCACAGTAACAATCTCTGTAATAACTATGGTTACCATGCAGTCATCTTGTTGTTAATAAGCTAACATTAAGAGATTATGAAAATGACAAAAGCACATAACTCAATTAAAATGAAAATATAAAAAATAAAATCTGATTCAAAATATTACAAAAGGCTGTAATAGTATATAAATAATACTACAATGACGCTTTTACCATGGTAATTATGTATATAAAATAAATCTAAAATTGTTATGCATATAGTCATCCATACATCTACACAATACACAAAACAAAAAATTCATGTAATTCAGATCTGACATTACCTTGATGCCTCTGAGAGATGCAAATGCTTCCTGGCCTGGTCTAAGAGCGATGACATCACCTTCCACCAGTAGACTGATAGGTAGATTGACCAGTTGCTCGTCTCTGAATGTCCAATGCAGTGACCAGGAAGTGGAGGTGGGAGTGTAGAGGTCAGGGTACAGAGAGGGGGCCCATCTGATTGGATGTCCTGCACTTCTCTCCAAATAATCTGGCAACCCATCAGGAAAAAGTGAAAGTGAACATTAACTTATTAAAACATGGAATGACAAATCTAGAGAGCGAATAAATAATGACAGAACGAAAAACTATACTATACTTAGTTATATAAAAGCATATGCAGCCTTGTATGGGCTTTATGCACAGCTGCACTACTTCCTGAACTTAAGCGAGCTCCTTGTTTCCTGTCTGCCATTATTGGCCAAATTGATTAATTCAGGTGTGTCTGATTATTGTTGCCGTAACTACTGAGGTCAGGCACACCTGGATTAATCAATTTGGCCAATAATGGCAGACAGGAAACAAGGAGCTGGCTTAAGTTCAGGAAGTAGTGGAGCTGTGCATAAAGCCCATTGAAATGTGATGTAAATTAATGGATGACGCCTAGCATAACCATCATTACTTTCTGAAGCAGGACTGATTCCTTTAGATATTTATATACTCGCTGACTCACCGTTCAGCTGTGAGATGATGGACTTGAGCCTGCGCACCATCTCACTGGTCCGTAACCTTTGCTGCCGCCTGATGAGGAAGAGGTTCAGCAGCAGCAGGAGGAAGAGCGCACCTGCGTTCACCAGCTCTATGCCTTGACTGAGATAAAAAGGTAAGCAGCTTACATAAAACAAAATAACAAAGTGCTAATCCCAACTATTTGTTAAAGGGTTAGTTCACCCAAAAATGAAAATTAAGTCATTAATTACTCACCCCCATGCTGTACCAACCCCGTAAGACCTTCGTTCGTCTTCGGAACACAAATGAAGATATTTTTGATTAAATTTGAGAGCTGTATAACTACCACATTGGCTCCTAAGGGACTGCCTCTTGACGGCCCAGAAAGTCAATGAAGAAAATGTTTAAATATCCCAAGTGACTACCGTGGCTCAACTATATGTTTATCAAGCGACGCGAATACTTTTTGTGCGAAAAAACAAACAAAAATAACGAGTTTATTCGACTATTTTTTTCTTCCTTGTAGGCCAGAACGAGACTTCCTTATAGATTTCCACGACGCATGCGCGAGATTTGCGATCTGCGTACACCAGCTTACACCACTTCAGATCGCAATTCTCGCGCATGCGTCGTGGAAATCTATAAGGAAGTCTCGTTCTGGCCTACAAGGAAGAAAAAAAATAGTCGAATAAACTCGTTTTTTTTGTTTGTTTTTTCGCACAAAAAGTATTCGCGTCGCTTGATAAACATATAGTTGAGCCACGGTAGTCACTTGGGATATTTAAACATTTTCTTCATTGACTTTTTGGGCCGTCAAGAGGCAGTCCCTTAGGAGCCAATGTGGTAGTTATACAGCTCTCAAATTTAATCAAAAATATCTTCATTTGTGTTCCGAAGACGAACGAAGGTCTTACGGGGTTGGTACAGCATGGGGGTGAGTAATTAATGACTTAATTTTCATTTTTGGGTGAACTAACCCTTTAACATCCATTCAAAATGCCATTCAATTTTTTTTTTTTTGCTCCATCCCTGCCCACCTGCCCTCCGGCTGGCTGCCATGACAACACAACAGCCCAACCACCACAACCAGAGTGAGAACAGCTCCTGGCCAATGGAAGCATGAATGTCGGTTGTCATGGTGAAGGAAGCTCTTAGCCCACAGCTCCTGCAAAACAAAAAGTAAAACCAAAATCAGGATTTCCCAGACAAAACTAACTTTAACTTTAATGATAACAGAATAATGCAGAACAGACCTGTATCGTGTATCTTCGCCGGCTGAATTTCTGGTGTTGCCCCAGTAAATTGGACAGTTGGTCCCGTAGGGTGCACAGAGCTTGAGCTGTGGACAGTCCCAGTGGAGTCGCCGCCTCCTCCTCCTACAGAACAACCAAACCAAACAATCCATGAAAGTCACTTTGTTTTAAAAATTCTAGGGGCAGGTGAGATAAAAATGGCTTAGCTCATGAATATTAATTAGGATTTAAAAATATTTAAAGGCGACCTATTATGCTTCTTTTCACAAGACGTAATATAAGTCTCTGGTTTCCCCAGAATGTGCCTGAACAGATCATTTATTGTAGCTTGTCAAATTTGCCCCTATTTTGAGCAAAACACAGCTTTTGTGTGTTCCTTTAAATGCAAATGAGCTGCTGCTCCCCGCCCCGTAACCAGAATGGGGCGCAAGTAACCTTTACAGCTTGTGCTTCAGATACTTCAGCAAAAAAAAAAAAAAAAACTTTGCATGTACCATCATATTAATCTAAAAATCCACTAATAGTACAAATCTTTACCAGCCATGGGCGGGGCTTGAAATCTGCAACCGCTAGTTTGGAGAGACTGTTTATGATTTCTGGGAATTGTAAAAAACAGAAGTGGATGAATTTTTACCATTATAGGCTGGTTGTTAAAACACAATGCAAAACATATCTGTGTTCAAACCCCTTATAAAAGCTATAATAGCAAAGAACTAAATGAACGAATTGACTCGGAAAAAGATTCGTTCATTTTGATGAACGAGTTCGAACAGGAGAGTCACAAACGTGCATCACAGGCCAGCATTTGAGCTTATAAAACGTAAACTTTTTTTTTTTTTTTTTTTTTTTTAAATGACCGATCGTTTCGCTTGATAAGACACTTATTCGTCGTCTAGAATCGTTTAAAGCCCTTTGAACAGTTTGCACTGAAACGGTCTTTTGGACCTTGAACCGTTTGTTGCCAGTAAAGTGCATTATTATGGAGAAAAATCCTGAAATGTTCTCATCAAAAACTTTCATTTGTTTTTGACTGAAGAAAGAAAGAAAGACATGGACATCTTGGATGACATCGGGGTGAGTAAATTATCAGCAAAAGTTTTTTTTTTAAAAGTGAACTACTCCATTAAAATTTTTGGTCAATCGGATCCCGGTCTGATTGTCCAAATCTGAAAAGCAATCTAAAATAAATTTTGTAGAAATTGACATTTTCAAAAAGTTGTATTTAAACTTTAAAATATTCCATAAAACACAGCCAATAATGACAATTATTATTTATTTTATTAGCTTTATTCACCAGTTCAAAAGCATAGAAGGAAAACTATTAAGGGAATGCAGACACAGTAAGTCAAACCTATTTATTTAGGCTGAAACTTTTATTGCTCAACATGCCTATTATGGTCACAAAATAAAAGGCTCCCTCTCCTCTGACGCAATATGGCTATCCTAACAGTATTACCAGTGGATTTGTGGGACAGCTAGGGTCCCGTAGTAGCAAACGATGGCCCACCACTATAAATAAACACACCACTTTCCCACAGCCTGAACTAAATGCTTTCATGAGCATCTCTCACACATCAACGAGCAGGGATTTACCTTCAGCTCGCACAGAGAAACACGCAATAACACATGGTGGCCCATTATGGGTAAACCACTCAAGACCTTGAAAAAAATGCACCACTCAATCAAACCCAGAGCTGAGAAAAGTACACATGCACCTGACACGACACTTCCACCTGTTCACGATACTTGAGATTAATCACATGCAAACAACAGACTTAAGCCTTCGCACACAAGACCTAAATGTCGGTCCCGGACAGTCGGATTCAGACAGATCACAAACAACTGAGTTTGTTAGAAGTGTGCACAGATCCACTCACTTTATTCTTCCAGAACCAGGTCCCATTTTTCAGGATCATGGCTGCGACTACTCCCTCTGCTGCCGACAGACTAATGTATGACTGGTGCGCGTGTGGGCTAGACAGTGTGCCGAGTGCTAACGGGATAATGTATGCTGCTGTTTCAGCACCAGTCACACGGCCTGGACAGACAGTCTCTGCCTCTGCGCATTCAGAGGCTCTGTTTTGGGCACGTCCCAGCCACCCTTGTGTAATCTGCCAGTTAAAAAAGCACTGCACTTTAAAATCAGTGCAATTGTCCAGAGAGAATGAACACAACTGTTCTTTTCAGCTGGGAACTGTGGGTAGGTCTGCTAAAAACAGTTAAGCTGAAGGAGAATGAACATTAAAGAAAGGAGGTTTTGTCAGTTCTGGCATGAATTAGTATGAGAGCTCTGCAGAGGCATCTGCAACACTCCGCCTGAACAGAAACAGGCAAAAAACGGTGACAGTGAAAAGCTGTAAAGGATGAGCAAGTATCTGGGTTGGAGAGCTTTTGAGAGAAATAATTAGAGAATAAAGTGAGGGAAAGGGGCTTGAAAGACAAGCAAAAGCATGGTGTGACCTCGCCGCCCAGTCCAGGCATTCATCCATTCCAGCTAACACAGCAGTTTACAGGACTAGCAGTGATGTGGTGCGGCAGGACAAAGAGCAGCATCCTCATTGAACCCTATAACCGGGATGTGCATTTGAGACAGATCGACATATATGTAATATATATATATTAAAAAAAAAGATATAGTGGAAAAAATTGACATAAAGTGTGAATATATATAAATATATATTCAGATCTATATATATCTCAGCACACTCTCATTACCTCAGCAAAATCAATACAGGTAAGACAAGAACCAAAAAGGGGATCTCAGCAACATTATTACTGCCAAATTACACAGTCATACAATGACTTTGATGATGCTGTCCAAATTCAGCTAAATTTAGATGTTTTAAGGTACTTGAGTTTAATTGATTAAAAGGGATAAATTCATTTTCTCAATAAATTAAATCACAGAAATGTACATATATGAGCTGGTGAAATAAATGATGTGACAGCTGACAAATGTACAATATGTTTAACTACATGAAACAAACATATTGCTTCCACAAGGTATAGGTAAAGTCACTGAATTTCTAGCCCAACTTCACACCAAATTCATATATAAAGCTTTTCTTCATGTCCAAAGTCAAAATCACGATATGTCTGTAGAGACAACTTCTACAACTTCCATTTCCATTAAAAATTGTCTATCGTAGTTCAAGATGAGCTCTTAATTATTATAAGACACTTCAGAGCAAAATTACCCATGACTGGAGAATATGAACGAAACTCCCACTGTAAACAAACAAACACAGTTTTTCAGCGCTTCCTGTATGTAGTATAACAGAGGTCTTAAATATGCCAAAGAAGAATGAAAAAAATCAACAACAAAAAAATCAGTGAAGGTCTACTAGTGTGATCAAGCCCAGGGTCATTGAATTTGAGTTCATGTCAGGCTATGTCATTTACATGAGAGTAATTAAGCCAGTTATTTACATATTTTGCTGTAGTGTGTCAGTAGGAAATCAGTTTACATTTCCAAACATTTCTTTTGCCATTAATTGTAATAATCCAGCGAGATTTTTATATGTACAAGGACAAGTAGTTTGACAACAGCCAGTGCGCCACATGGAAATCTTATCTCACCATTATGGAGTCTGATTACAAGAAGAAACAGAAAAAACTGAGACAGACTAAATCCAGAAGAACTGCGGCAACGTCTCCAAGATGCTTGAAGAAACCTCCCTGAAAAACTATGTGCAAGTGCTCCTAGGATAAAAGCTTTATTAAACACTGTATTTACACCAAATATTGATTTGATTTACATAAATAAAATGTATTTACGACATAATTTTTTGAAAGCATCCTCACTTTACAGTCTTTTTAGCCTTTCTACAAACATCTTGGAGACGTTGCCACAGTTCTTCTGGATTTACTCTGTCTCAGTTTTTCTGTTTCGTCATGTAATCACAGACAGACTAAATGATGGTGAGATCAGATCTACATGTGGAGCACCGGCTGTTGTCAGACAGCTTGTGCGTACAAATTAAATACATTAATTAGGTCAATGAGGCAAGTTAGGTTAATGAGGAATGTCATTGGATAACTGGTTTGTTTTGTAGCCAATCAACCCAATTTTATTTTAATAATTCTCTTATTCCTAGCAAATTTAAATAAATAAGGCTTTCTCCAGAGAAAAAAATATAATAAGAAATACTGTGTTAAACATCTCTTGGAAAATATTTGAAATTGAAATAAAGTCATAAAGTATAAAGCCATACCCCAAAATATCCCAAAACTCTTGTTGCATTACTTTATATGTGACTCTTGCTTGTATTACAACCTGAGGGGTGGGTCAAAATTATTCTCGGTGGCAATTGATAGTATGCGCATTTCAAGACTAGCAAACTTACCTGTTTCTTATCCTGTAGCTCCATGGCAACCGCTGTATCTCACCATGCTCTGTCGAGCAGCCCAGAGCTGGTAATTACGGTCCACACTTGTCCCAATACCAGCCCGGCCCCCAGCTCCAAGATGCCTCGTCTGCAGGCACTGCCAGTCTGAGGGACGGTTCTCGGGGCTGTAGTCGATGCCCAGGGAACTGTAATATAGGAGAGGGTGTGGCTTCTCTCTTCTTACATTCAAAGGGATCTGAAATGGGTAGAAAGTGTTACAAAGGGAATTATTAAAAAGAGTTAATGACAAGTTTAAATGCTGCAGTAACTGGAAAAATGATGTATTCATGGCAATAAGCATATTGCCAAATAAAGATATGCACATTTTTCCCAGGTCCCACCATTTTCACTGGAAGTAAAAAAGTTGGTAACCCTGGCTTATGCTTGCTTGCAATACTGACCAATAACATGTCAGTAAATAAGGATATTTGACAAACAACATGTCTGTGAACTTTTTTCTTTTTAAACAAACATCAAGAGTTTCGATTAAAATTCAGGCAAGTCTATGGTCCTACTGTGAGACAAGTATTCAAATATTCCATACAACCTCTAATATGGTAATAAAAATTGCATGCATTATAATTATAAAAGCAAAATTGGCTATATTCTGTCTAAAAAGTTTAGGGTGGAAAATAGCATGTCGCATGGCAGGACATCTTAACTTCTTAAAATGTATAATCCATTATATTTCAGATTAGAACATGCTTATGCCACCTTAATATAATCTGGAAAATAAACAAGATACATTATTTAAGGGTGCCAGTAATCTGTAAAACTGCTTTTGGCAACAGTCTACAACCTCAAACAATTTGACATTTACTCATTTAATCTTTAGCTTTCTAGGTAAGACAAGCAAACTTACTCTTACTGACTTTAAATATCTAAACAGGTGTAATTAATCATCATAGCCGAAAACAACCCCAAATAAATCACTTACAATCTCATAAATCCAGCAGATTCTGAGAAAGTAGTGTTTACCTGATTTATAAAATAGTATACTTTACAGAGACTTTAATCTTTGACTACAGGTAGTGTAATGAATGATGATGCAGGATTCATCTGAACATCTAGTCTCTAAGCAAATGCTAGAGACTTAATGATAGAGACTTAGTAATGTGTATAATACTTCAGAGATGCACTAAATAAACAGTGGTATTGCATAAAGTTATTAAGGCAGAAGTAATATCTTGCATTGGCTTATATTAATGAGGAACCATATTTCAGAGTAACGTTATCTACGATTATTAAAAAAACTGTGTTAACATGAAAGACAGTTGAACGTCTGATCGAGCCTTGTCGGCCTGCTTTTTATCTCTGTTGGATTTAGCTGTCAAAGTTAGAATAATTTGTATAAAACCTCTTTATACCATTTATAAATATTCCAAACAACTGGTTTATCAGTTAATTAGAGGTGGCCTAGGGGTTAAATGATACTAGCTATATGCTCAAATCACAATAAATCAATGCAAACGTACGTTATAGAGGTGTAACATCAACGACCCGCAAGTTGTATCGTCAATCATCAAGAGTGTTTAAGCAGAATCAACTAATATTCGTCTCAAAATCCTTGGACTCACTCCCTGTTGACGGCCATGTTAGTGACTCGAAGGGCGTGGTCTGTTTGTGCTGGGACGATGTAGTGGAATCTGATTGGTCAGTGTTATACGAGAGGCGGGATTTGTTTTGTTTTGTCTTTTGTGATTGGTCAGTACTACGGGAAGTCAAATGGTGCTCACTGCAGTGCCATATGACGTCCAGCCCCCCCACCCCTCTCCTCCCTGGACGGATCTTGACCTGGTAGAGTAAAGCTCCACCTCTGTGGACCTAATGGGTGGAGTTATGTTACGATAGGGTTTTGTCAGAGCCGTTAAATATTAATATGTTTCAACGGCTATGGGTTTTGTCAGAGGCAGAGCCGTATAAAGAGGTGGCTATAGGGCTTTAGGTTATGTGTTGGGTTAGGGTTTAGTTGAGCCATCTTGCTCCACCCATTAAGTCCAGCGAGGGGGAACTGGACCTGGACGTCAGTGACTTGCCGCGGTGTGACTCAAAGGGCGGAGCCTCTGTTTGACGTAGTTACCCTGCATATTAAATCTTCAGTGTCATGTGTTGTTTATAATAAATGCATATTGATAAATAGTGCTCTTTAAATGTTTATCTGCACACAAATGGAATGATAATGTTTCTCGGTTTTCTGAAGAGGACATATGAATGATTTTTATTGAAAAAGAATGAAAAATACACTTTAAATAGATACATTTCTATACTCACTAAAACATTTTATTTTAATTGGACGTTAATAATTAAACATAATTTTAACACATATACAAAACAGGTCAGACAGGTTATAATAAATATAATCACAAATCATTTGGTGGTATACATTCTAAGATTACCAAATTAAAAAAAAATTTTAATACAAAAAATAAAATAAAAAAATTACTACATTAAATAATGCTTACCAAATTATTAATTTTCATTCCAAAAAATGTATTTATGCTGTTTACATCGCTGCAAACCCCTAGTATTTTTACAGATCCCTTGTTGATTACCCTGAATATAATTAATTAAACACTTGGTAAGAATTTGCTTTGATCTTATGTAAACTTTTCTACATATTTATGAAATATAATGTCTATAATAATATATGGCAGGAGACATATTTGAACTCAGGGTAAGTCATGGGATATTAGGTGACGTTTGCATTTGTCGGTTGTTTAAAATGGGGTCCCAGCCCGACTGGACATGCTGCTGTAGGAGGGTTTCACCACCTCTTCTATAATCACAGCAATGGTATGGCATAGTTCTTTTGCCTGGGAGAAATGAGAGATCAAAAACAAGAGCAATCTCATTAAATAAACACTTCCAGCTCTTTGAAAATAACAATATGTATATATCCATGACATGCATACCTGCTTTAGATTGAAGCTGAGAGTCCTAGGTTGAGTTTGGCCACTAAATATGATCTCAACTGATTGCAGCTTGTCTTTTTTGGGACGGATTGAGCGCAAGGACTGCACATCCTCTAGAGACACTGTCAAACATGCGTTCTGTGAAGTTTGTGATAGTTTAGTCATTGTTGAGCATGGACACAATGCAAACACACAATGATGATCAAAGCATTATGGGAATACTGAGTGTCAGATACCTGTGATTTGGGATCAATGATCGTGATAACTTCATGGTTGACAGCGATCAGCGAAGGAGAGGGGCAGCTGTGATGACTTACTTTCTGAGCAGTGAATATATCAAATCCATAGAAAGGTAGCGAACTGACAGTTTCTGGAAAGTTAAAAGAGTTTGTTTGAAAAATATGAAATACAGATGTAAAATCAGTAAATGGAATGGGAACATTAAAGGGATACTCCACTTTTTTTGGAAATAGGCTCATTTAACAACTCCCTCATAGTTAAACAGTTGAGTTTTACCGTTTTCGAATCCATCCAGCCGATTTTCTGATATTTAGAAGAATATCAGTAACCAGACAGTTTCTGAACCCATTTACTTCCATATTATGGAAGTCAATGAGACCAGAAACTGTCTGTTTACTGAAGTCAATGGGTTCAGAAACTGTCTGGTTACTGATATTCTTCTAAATATCAGAAAATCGGCTGGATGGATTCGAAAACCCAACTGTTTAACTCTGGGTGAGTTGTAAAATGAGCCTATTTCCTTTAAGACAGGTTTGCTCACTTACTGATAAAGCGGGCTTTAGCATCAAGAGGGCTGAGGGGGCCTAAGGTAGAAAACTGTGCCCGTATTGTAGCAAGAAGCCTTTCATCGCTGGAGTTGAGCCCATCCTTCCGGGGAAGGTACTGCTTTACCTCAGAGCTGATGTTTGAACATTGATTACCATTACATTGTGTCAAGAGTGTCAGATTTAAAACAATGATTCTAGTTAGCTGAAATGACTAAGTTTCATTTATAATTTTAGGTATAATACATCACATCGCTTGAGATATATAAAATTACTTGGATGGTAGATCAGTCAGTCCATGCGCAAGGTGTTGGAGAGCGGTCAACTCTGCCACCAGCTGATAGATTGTAGAGCTGTTCATGGGCAGCAACACCCTCCCTTGCAGGTAATTGGTCACAAACTAAAAATACATATGACCGGCATCCATCAAACATAATAATGAGATGTATTTGAACTTAGGTTTCATTTATTTGATCAAAAGTACACTAAAAACATGTGAACTTTTAAAATGTAATTTATTTCTGTGTTGGCAATGGCGAATTTTCAGATCTTCAGTCACATGATCCTTGATAATATGCTGATTTGGTGCTCAAGAAACATTTTTTATTATCATTATCAGCGTTGAAAACAGTTGTGCTGCTTAATATTTTTGTGGAAATTGTGATTCTTTTTTTTAGGATTCTTTGATGAATAGAAAGTTCAATGAAAAGCATTTATTTACATTTATTAAATGTATTAAAGTATTTAATAGGAACATTATAAATGTATTCACTGTCACTTTTGATCAATTGAATGCATACTTTATTAAGGCTAGGCACTACAGGCAAAAACTGTGTTTTTTGTGCATCAGTCAGTTTAGAGATTTTAGCATTTTTGGCTTTTCATAAAGTGTTTTTTTTTTTCAGACTAGTGGACATAAAACATCCAAACAATACTTTTAACTGTATCTTTTAGAGCACTTTATCTATTTGCGTCTGTAGATTGTAATTACAGTATATATCTTTAAAGGCTGTTTTCTCAAAATGAGTTTTTCCTCCTACATTGAGCCAGAAATCTCTACTTCAGTAACACTTACATACACCAAACAGTTTTATTCTTATATACTAAAAGTTTTTAAAAAGGGGTTTGTTCATATATGTTTTTCCTGATTTTATACAACATTTAATTCCTAACCTGTAAATGTATGCAAATGAGTGCATATTTAATAATTTGCATATTTAAACATAACATTACTGAAAACATGTAATACAAAAAATGTTTTGCAATTATTAATGTTATCACATAATGTGATATAACTGGTGAAGTATGGTGATATTTATTAGTGTTTTCTTTACCCTATTCACCTGGGGTGTCTCGCCTTAATAAAAGTACTAATTTATCTCTCTTTTTTTATCTTACCACAATGTTTGAATGGTATCGTTGTCTCCACAAAAATGTATAGCAGGAAAAACTGTTTTCAACATTGATAATAATAACAATAAATGTTTCTTTGAGCAACAAATCAGCATATTCAAATGATTTCTGAAGCATCATAGTAATGATCCTGAAAATTTAGCTTTACCATTATAGTAATAAAGGACATTTTTAAAAATGTATAAAAATAGAAAACTAATATTAATATATTTCATAGATATATTACAGTATATTTAACGTTTGACAGGTATATTTCATATTTATTGTATTTTGTAATCTTGAATATTCATTACTGTTAAACAGGAAAACCGTAATGTTTCACGTAAAAATGAATTCAAAAGAGACTTTGTACCAGCTGATAGTGGAACCCCAGGTAAAGATCATTGCTGAACTGGAGTGGCTGTTTCCATATTATGCGACGAAAGGAGAGGGAGATCGAGCCATCATCCAGCAGGAAGTCAAATAGATACTCATCAGAGTGAATTGGGCGTGACACATCATCTAAAGAAAGTGATTAATTAATTGTGAGAACAGTGTGAAAGCATAAACTGATTCATGTGTAGAAGAGGGACATCTTACCCCCTTTTTTAGTAGCATAGATGGAAAATTCCTTCACTTCTGCTGTATTTATGACAGCCATCTCAGCGCAAAACTCTTGTAACACCTCAAATGCAACCTATAGAAAAGCATAATAGCGCTACATGTAGACACTACATAATCTTTAAATAATAAAACTGGAAAGAGGGGGCCTCACTTACACTAAAGCTGTGAATCTTGCAGGGAAATTCGGTTCCATCAGGCAGCGCGATGGGCAGCCGACGACAGCTCCTCATAGCCTGCATGTGATTCAGATATTGTGGTAAAAGAAACAATTTCACATTCATTTTACATTCTCTGCTCAACATTTTCAATGTCTTCACTTACCAAAATGGCCTCCATCTCTGAATGTGAAGGGATGTGCCTGCGTCCTCCAAAACTGAGTGATCGTCTGAGATTCAATGCACACACATTTGCCAGTTCTAGACACAAATATTATATGCACAGAATCACATTCTCTGCTATTTTTGTGTACATACAAACAGGTTTAAATGACTTTCTAATAAGATTGTATAGTAAAATCCATGTGAGAGTAAACTTGGCTTATATTGGTGGGGGTCATTAAAGCAAGTAAATACAGAATAAGATGTTAGAAGTGGATACCGTACCTTGAAACGGGTGGTTGGCATCCTGAATGATGTTCTCCAGGTGGCGGGTGCAATACGAAAGGAGAGTGTTGGAACAGGGGAAGAATCCAGTCACCAGACTGAACAAACGCCAGCCACGGGAGCAGTTCTCGCTACAAAATCAGAAAACAATATAAACTACTATTCAAAAGTTAATGTTCCTGAAAAGAGTCTCTTTATGCCTATCAACGTTGTGAAATATTATTACAATTGTGTTGTCTATTTTAATATATTTAAAAAGGTAATTTATTCCTCTGATGGAAAAGCTGAATTTTCAGCATCATTACTCCAGTCTTTAGTGTCACATGATCCTTCAGAAATCATTCTAATATACTGATGTGAAACATAACTTCATTTTATTATTCGCTAAATAGTTTGTGTGAAAACTTTTTTAGGATTCATTAATAAATAGAACGCATTTATTTGAAATAGAAACCTTTTGTAACACTATAAATGTCGGTAACACTTTATTTTGATGGTCCCTTTTGAAAATTCTGTTAACAATAAGTAACTTTGCAACTACATGTCAACTAAATGTCATTAGAGTATTTTTAGACTGTCCGCTTAATATCTGATAACAGTTTATTGTGATGCTCCTCCAACAGACAATCTACGGACTATAAGTAACTTTGCAACTACATGTCAACTTATTCTATCCCTAACCCTACCAGTCTACTAATACTCTACTAACACTCTAGTGAGAGTTAGTAGAGATGTAGGTGCAACGTTACTTATAGTCAACTGAATGTATTAAATGGACCATCCAAATAAAGTGAAACCTAAATGTCTTTACTGTCACTTTTGATTAATTTAATATGTCAATACACACGTTTGAACGATAGTGTACACACAATATCACTCACTTGACTGGGTGTTTGGTGGTCTGCTTGATGACCTGACAGTAGATCTCATCCCTGAGGAACTCCTTCTCTTTTCCCAGCTAAACCAAAACAAGTTGTCATGTTACAGATGCACAAATTCACAATACCTCTCAAACAAATACGCTCTACATTTAGAGGGAAAGCTCACCTGCAAAATGAAGTTCACACAGTCACTCTCTGTCTGATTTTTCTTCATAGGCTGATCCAACATAAACTGCATAATAACTACAAAGAGATCGCTGGGTAAGATACTTGTTCTCTTTATTTCTTTATACTCTTTATTATACTTTATTCTGATTGGTCAATCTGCTATCAAATATTTTGGTATAATGACAACAAAATAAAATGACTGCTTTTGCAGGCAAACAATTGTTTTTATTTTATTTTATCTTATAGCCTATATAAATTTATTTTTTTTAATTTATACACACACACACACACACACACACACACATATATATATAACTAATTTAAATACCAATGTAAAAAGTGGAATAATACACATTTAGTCTGTCACTATCGCAAAAAATAAACCCCTACAGGGTGATATACAAGAGCCCTTTGCTCTTTGAGGTGCTGATTTTATTTTAGGAGACCCACTGACTTTGACAAAATGTATGCTGTTATAATGGGTGAGTTTACATTATGTCTGTGATAACATTTGTTCACTTACACATGAAGTTTTGAGAACCCAGACGATTGAGATCATTATCTGAGAAATGGATTAGCGATTCCTGAATGGGATTCTAATAAAAGAAAATACAGCAAGCAAAAACAATCAGACAAACTCATAAAACACCAGCATATTCACAGTGAGAGACTAAGAGGTGCATACGTACTGGAGTGAATCCCACCATCTCATTTAGATTTTTGTCTTTCATGTTTGGTCTGAGAAAAGAGAGAAACAGGTCAGTGTTCAGTGGAGTTTGATGCAAAGCAATTTTGTGGATAATTTCATCTGTTTGAAGTTTGATTTCCAGAGGTCTTTACCTGGTGATAGAATCGGCGAAGAACTTCCTAGCAAACTCAGCCATGATATAATGCTGACGTTCTGATTCAGATCTGTGGATGGATGCCACCTCCACACTGTATTCACTGCTGGCAGCCACGGAGCGGGCAACAGGGATGTTGGAGAGGGAGCCATTGGCAGGTACATTGGTCACAGTGCCATTAACAGGAATGTTGGTGACGGGGCCATTGGAAGAGACGGTGAGTCTCATACTCTTTTTTCGTTCAAGCTGCCGCTCCATGTTGTTGCTGTGGTAGTCTGGTGGGGCACAAGGCTGAGTGACGTCCAACGGGAAGAGTCCAGAACGGCCCCCACTGGAACCAAACATCCATCCTGCAAAAAACATCTTTTATGTTATGTGCTGTACAACTTAATCAATCATATACATACACATATAAGTGATATTCATTTTTACAGCTAACAAAAATGTGTTCTAAGAACATTTTGCGAACGTTCTCATTGCGTTCTTAAAACTTTTCAAAAGTCCAGTTTTTTTAAATGTTTTTTTTTTTTTTTAAATGTCTTGGTTATGTGAATGTTAGAGAAAATATAGAGGTAATGTTTTCTCTATTTGATAATTTTGCAAGTAATATCTAACTAACGTCTAACTAACTAACTGACTAACGTCTAACTAACTAACTGACTAACGTTTTGTGCCAATGTTTTGATAGCGTTATTAAAGGTTAGATAACTTTGAACTAATCTTGTATTTACATTACTGGAAGAACATTTATTCATAGAGAACCAAGCCAGAACGTTAGCCAAAGTTCTAAGAGCTTTCCCTGTCAGCTGAGATATACACTGGTAACAGTTTACAAAAAGGTCTCATTTGCTAAGTTTAGGTAATGTATTAACTAACATGAACTAACCATGAGCAATACATTAGTTACAGTATTTGTTCTGTAAATCTTTGTTAACTTTATTTAAAAATACAGTTGTTCATTGTTTTTTCATGTTAGCTCACAGTTCATTACTAATGTTAACTAATACAGCTTGAATCTGATGGTATCCTTTGTGTGTGTTAACAAATTAGAAAACTCGAGCACAAACTTTGTGCTCAACTGATGATATGAGTTTGGGCAGGGAATATATCTTTTCTAAACAATGTAAGACAGGGAAATCTGTTTTAAAACTATTTTATTTTGAATATGTTTTTGCTAATCTGTTTGTGTCGCTAACGGAGTAGAAATGACACATAGTAGTTTTTGGGAAAGGCTTATGGAGATCCACGATCCCAAATGGTTTTCTCAGGTTCTCTTCTCACCATCATTGAGTCCATCCATGTTTAACAGTTTGATGACATCGCCTCTGCGAAAGCTCAGCAAGCTCCTGTCATCTGTTACATAGCTCTTCACAGCGATCACATAGTCTGAGTTCTGCAAATGGAGAATCAGGTAAATTTATTCAAGATTGCAGAGAAAATTAAGGTTCACAATTCAGTAATTTCACAGGCGACGTTAGCAAATCCACATGATCACAAATTTTCTGTGAGGACGAAAGATTTCCCACTCAGGTCTTACAACAGGTTCAAGAAAGCTGCTTGGTAGTGCTTTTTTATATGGCTAAACTATTGACAATAGATGATAGACCTTTTATGCCATTTTATGTTGACTTTAAGTGAAAAACTACAGCTATATTGGTGTTGAGGCTAGTATGAATAACTGAGCACCTTAATCAGCTCCATGAGGAAGAGACGAATCACAGCAGCGATCTGTGAAGCCTTTTGGGAGTGAAGTTCCAATTCTTCATTACTTATAGTGATCACAACTTTTCCAGCCTCTTTCTGCTGTACCGACAACATCTGTGAGTAACTGAACAGTAAAAACATATGATTACATAAACTGCAACACTTGACTTTGGGGTCAGTCAGAAATTAATACTTTTGTTCGTCAAGAACACATTAAATTGATCGAAAGTGACAGTAAAGACATTTATTGAACTTTTTATTTATCAAAAACGTATCACAGTGTATCATGGTTTCCAGAAAATGATTAAGCCACACAACTATTTTCATGATTGAAAATAAACTAAATGTTTCTTGAGCACCAAATCAGCATATTAGAATGATTTCTGAAGGATCATGTAACTGAAAATTTTTCAATCACAGGTCAAACTTATATTTTAAAATATAGTAAAATACTAGAAAACAGTTATTTTAAACTGTAATAATATTTCAAAATATTACACTTTTTACTGTATTTTTTATCAAATAAATGCAGCCTTAGTGAGCATAAGAGACCCCAAACTTTTGAACAATAGTGTAAATAAATGATCTGAGGAATGATTTGAGGACATTTCCATCTGCTAATATGTTCTGTACCTGTAGCTGTGGAGCAGTTTGAGGTGTTTGGGATTTATGCCTGAAGCTCTGGCCACCTTTAGCAGTCTGATTCCTCGATGAGACACTCCCAGAACCTGTGCATCTCCATTTCCCAGCTGTTAAAGCACACATGCAAACACATTTCAGACTGCTTAACAAATTTCTGTTTCCATATTTATGTAAGAAAAGCCAAGTGTTTTTAGTTCACCTTCACATTAAAGAGACGTGAAAAGTAATTGGTCCAGTTGTCTCTTGCTGCCATGACAATTCTTTTCTTCATTGCATCATCATCTAGAGAACTGATATTGGTTCTGATATGGAAGCTCGCTGGTGATAAAGACAGTAAGAAACACAAATAAACCATGTTCAGTTATCCATAATAGCTTATTTGAACTATTATTAGATTGGTATGGCTTTAATATTATGCATCTGGCATACCCAACAGGTCTTTCATTTTACGCCGCTCCTCACGTGAAATCCTCAGACAAGAATCCGAGTAAGTGTCTCGCATGATCTGCAGTTCACAAAAACAGTGGATACTGTGTGGCCCAGAATTTTATGTAAACTAAATAGTTTTGAAACTTTGAATTCTATACACAACTTGTTTGTTACTGACCTGCTCGCAGAGTAAATTAAGGATGTATAGGTTGTTGAATTTTTCTCTGGGATAAAATAGCTGCGTTCAAGACAGCACAAATAAAATGAATACACATAAGTAGTGCTAAAACAGCTGTGATAACTGTGTAGGAGGCCATCAGTCATGCAAAGTCACATAAAACAGTCTTGACTTAAATACCTCCTTGCGCAGGAAGAGTTTGGCAGGCATACTGGGGTAGGAGAAGTAGACGCTGGCAGAGAATCTGTGCAATTGGGAACGAACACTCTCCTCCTCGGCCATCTGGCTGAACTGATCTTTAGAAACAAATAGAGGGTGGGAAATTAGTACATAAGATTATTGTAACAAGGTTAGTTGTTCAGAGAAGAAGGAGGCGGGAACAGATGAACGTTCAAACTAACTGTTATCCAAAAATAAACAAATACAAAAAGAAAGTAACGCGTCAGCCCCTCATGGACAACTGCCGCATCGAAACATAATAAAACCATGTGGGTGACACTAATTAACACTCACAGCACTGGCCTCGCACCGTGCCCACAGCTCTCGGCCTAGTCCTGCTCAAATTTGCATATAGTTTATTCCTGATGCGCAGTGCCTTCTGATCTCTTATAAGTTTTTATAATATGAATATGCTTGTTGCACATTAAAGTATTTCTACAAAAGTGTACAACAGTGTATTTTATATAAAAAATAAAAAAAACAGGATGCAAAGATTAATTGAGCATTTTGGAAAGAAATATACAGTTTTTCCAGCACCTGTAATGTTTCAATTAGACAATGTTTAGAAAATGTTTCGAAGGAAAAGAAACACCTGGAATTTTTCTTAATCTAAACTTCTCAACACCTGGAACATTTCAAATACATAAAGGAAATAATGAAGAAAAAACATACATTTTCTTCAATTCATAATAAATTATTAGTTTTTTAACACCTACAATATTTTGATTTTCATAAATAAATATAACAAGAAACATCTGGATTATTTCTTAATCTTTTTTTTAACTATATATTTCTTTTTAAATTGGAAGTTTTATCTACACCTGGAATACTGGGGATAAACCATGTGAACCTATGTTCAGTTAATTGCACTAATTGTCATTAAATAAAACTAAATGATATTGTTTCAATCTTTTAAAAGTGTCAATTTAATATTTTATCCAATATAATTATGTAATTTGTGACATCACTTACTAAGTTCAGGTGCAGGCATCGGTGGCGGGTCAGGGATTTGGGGAGGTGGAGGAGGGATGGGGTCAAGAACTCGAGGCAGAGCCTGTGAGCGCTGCGAGCCGAAGAGATCAGCTAGTGAACGCTGCTTCTGTTTCATTTCACTGGAGATAGTGCGACGGCCATGGGACTCAGGGGCCGGAGGAGGCATCTCTTTCCACTGTTTCTATAGCAAGAATGCATAAATGATTCACTGAATGAATGAAACTGAACTAAAGCTCAAAAAGGTCAGAAATTAAAGACAACACTGCTTTATGGCTTGCCACTTGTCGTCAGTATCATCTACCTTCTCTTTAGTGACAGGTCCCTGAGCTTTAAGAATGGCCAGTGCCTCTTCTTTGGGGTCATTTTTCTTTACAAAGTGCTTGGCTGGAACCCTGTGAAGATCAAAGTTCACATTATTCCACCTCTTACAGTCTGTAAATTACTCCAAGTGATCAAAGCAACACAGTATCATGCAAGTTTTCATTAACAGATCTGAGTGAATCAAAGTGAATCACAGTTTGCAGCCCATTTTGCTTCCATAATGCAAAAAAAAAAAAAAAATGAGGGCAGGACTTGATTTTATCCATTGGGAATTGATTAGATTGTGAAGAGTGGTCTCTAGGTGGAGCAAGTTATAGCTTCACAATAATGTGACAAGGAACATGAATAAGGAAAGTAATTAGAGTCAATTCTTGGCCCACCTGACAGGCTCAAAGGCTTTAGGTTCTGGAGTGGGCCGATTCTGGTACAGCTTAATGATCTCTCTAATGTTGCTGGTAGGTTCTGGTTTAGGAGATGTGGGTTCTGGAGATTCTGGTTCAGGTTCTTGATGTTTAGGAGGTTCTGGGAATGGTTTCACTGTGTGAAGAAGAGTTTATTAGCATCCAGATACACCATTTTAGATGATGGCTACACAAATTTATCACGAAAACATGTTTCATATCAGTCAATATCGAATATCCCGATAAATGGCAAAACTATATTTCAAGTTTAAAGGGAGATTTTTGCTTCTGAGTTAAAGTTGCAGAAACCATACAGTTAATTGTGGTTTCATCATCAGAACAAGACACTTTTCAAACAGGTGAACATTTCACAAAATAACATTTTCATGTTTTGTCTCTTAAAAATGCACATTTGACAGTAGCTTGAGTTAGGGTGCAAATTTTTTTTTTTTTAATTTTATTAACAAAAACAGTCAATTGGCAAATCACCATTGCACACCTGCAGGTGATAGGTGCCTGTGAAAAAAGACCAAATGGGTAGTTTAAAATAAATAAATAAAAAAACTAGGAACTCCAGCACACTATCATTACTTACAACGTTTCAGTCTCATAACCTTCATCAGGCATATCTGTGTATCCATATGCCGAAACATTGCTAATAATATTTTGATAATCATTTGCAAGTATGGATAGTGTGTGGGAGTTCCTTGTTTTTTTAGATTAACAAAAACAGTAACATTTGTAAATATTGTAACAACCTCATTTTATAGGGTAAAATTTGTTTGTCCATAGTATTTGGATCATATTAACTAAAGGTAAAAACCACGCATTGGACCTCACTAACATGATAAAAAGTAATATTGTTTCTATGGTATTATTTGTTATGAAAACAGTAACTGAAAGAAATGTAGTATCACAAACTAGTTTAAATCATGAGGCATTTGATTTGTGGTTTGTATGGGAGAACTCTCCACTGAACTGGAAAAGTTTTCACTGGATCTCACAGCACTGTGTAGTGGTCGAGTGACTGTGATGGTCAGAAACTAAGTGCATTTGCTCAAAGCTCACGCTCAGCTAGCTAAATTGGTACTGGCAAAACACTTGTGCAGCATTATTTACATAGTACATAAACATTATATCAAACACATATCTAACTTTTGTTATCATTTTATTGAGGAAAACTATGTTGCGGCGATAATTATTGTTATCATTTTATCACCCAGCCCTAAATACATACTAAAGAATACATTACATAAATGTGAATATTTAAAAAAATTAAATAAAGAATGAACCACTTGTTGTAGGTAAAGAAAATATCAAAGCAGAAAACAAATATCGACCTTCTGTCTTTACTGGAGGTGATTTGGGTTGGGACAGCGGTGGAGTGGCGTATATCAGTGGCTTAGCAACCTTTGGCGCAGGTTTTGGGCGGGCTTCTGACGTACCTAAGATGCATAAAGATAGTGAAAATCTTATGTTAAGATACTTATTTCAGCCATTTTAAAGATTTTGATTTGACATTGTCCACTCACCAATCTTTTGAAAAAAATTCCTCTTCTCTTGAAAGGACCCTTGATCTTCCGGGGCCTTAAGATCCACATCTGTTATAGGCTGCGCATTAAAGAAAACATTAAGAAACAAGAAACTGAAGCAGTTAATTACTATACTATACAGTAATCGTAAAAACAGACACTGGTCAAAACCATTCCTTTACCTCAGGGCTACGGGGCTTTGGAGGCGGCTCTGGGGCTTTTTTCGCAGTCTGAGGGATGGCTCTTTCTGCTTGGGGGCGGCTTCGGGGTTTGGGTGAGGGTGAGCGGGAGCGTGAAGGTGAACGTTCACGTGGAGGAGAGCGCTGTCGATGGCGTGGTACATTTCTCTGTGACTCCTTCTCACGTTTTCGCATCTCTTCCTGCTGTTGCTTCTGGGACAGTGTCATTGCCTGCATGGTCATCTGCTGAGCCTGTAGGGGAAAAAATACTTTTTTACTGTAGGTCCAAAGCAGTGATGTGATAAAGGAAATCATTATAATTTATATATATATATATATATATATATATATTCGTTCTTTGAGGTGAACTCACAAGAAGCTGAGCCTGTTGATTGATAAAGGCCTGCTGCTGAGAAGCCATTTGCTGTGTATTGATAGCCGGTGCAGCAGCAGGCATGGCTTGTGGCATGGCTTGTGGCATCATCATAGCTAAGTCCAAAAAAAGCAGTAAGAAGAGGGTAAACATTTAACAGATTATACTATTAGAAAAGCACAACATGAGCAGCAGGGATGCTTACGTGGCATGGGCTGCATCATAGGCATGGTAGCTTGCATCATGTTTGGCATCATTGGAGCATAGCCAGCCATAGCAGGATTCATTGGCATTCCTAAATGATGGGTAACAAGAGGGTTAAACTTTAGAGCTAAAAAATAAATACAAGTGCCAAGATAAATCATTTTGTCATTGTATAGTTGATAGAGCATATTTTCTGTTTTGTGTAGCCAGCAGTTGTTCGTGAGGGGCTGCTGGCTTATCCTTTCATTTTTGCGTTTGTTGATTTATTTTATTAAACTTGTTGAATGTTCGCCAGTTCTCGCCTCCTTCTTCCCACAAAAGAACACAGGTGGTAAAACGGATAAAGAATGAAACCAAAACTGAATCGTGACTGTGACATAAACATTTTTAAAAATAATTATATTATAAAATGCCTATATAAATTGTGTAATGTTGTAAATTGCGCAACCTTCTTAGCTTAAAATTGTTTTAACTGTATCTCTCTAAATATCAGCATGACTATCAGATGCTCACTAAACAACACAAATTAAATACATATACAAACTTTACCTGCTCCGGTGTACATGCTGGGCATCATACCTCCTCCTCCTCTCATTCTGCGATTCAGCATTGCCATCCGTTCAAAGTCCTATCAATAAAAAAACAATAAAATGAAGATAATAAGTCCTTAGGCCAAAGATAAAAAGCAATACAAGAAGATGTCAGAGTTAATAAGTGCCAAAGTTATGCAATCTTCGCTGGCTTAATGAATGATATTTTTATGTAGCCTATGTGCTCTGGCAGGTTGAGCTAATGTGCTTATGCAGATGACATGCGTTTGAGCTTTCATCCCTGCCATTTATCCTATTATAAATCTATAACTAAATCTCTGAAAATAATGTAAAATGAATATGTAAAAAATCCATTACAAATCTATTTAAACATTTATATATAGCTAAAAAAACTTCATTAGCATTTATTTTAAGTAAAGAATAAAAAATAACACTAAAGTAAGTGTAATAGGTTTCAAATTCTAAAATCGAAAAGATAGAAAACCTGTTCAGTTACTATAAAGTAGCTGTCAGTGTGACTAAAAACTGCACAATATTATTTATGTTTTTGAACTGGACAATACTGACCGGAGGACCATGATCAAACACAGGATCAAAGAGATCATCAACATAAGCATCCATCTGCCGACCACGAGATCCTAAAAGAAAGATTGTTGCAGGAGTGTCCTTGATAATGTCAGAGTGAAACAGTCATTTTATTTACTCTACAGGGTGAGCCAGTTCCCAACCCTCATACAGTAGCTTTCATTCACTTTGATTTCTTTGATCGTCCCTGTGCAAAGCTATGTAACATAGCAATGACTCAGAACTTACTCTCTGTTTCCTAGTAATGGTTGGACACTCACCCTGGGATGTGGAAGAGGGTTGATAGGTGTCCCATGGAGATGCTTCAAAGGAGGGGAGACCAGGGGCCTGCATAAGGGGAGCAGGTGGTATAAAGTCGTCCAGGTCTGTGGTCGCCATCCTGACAACAAGAGAAAATGGATTAATAGAAGGAATTAAACTAGAATTTCACAAACAATTTTGATTGAACTGTCAGCTTCGAGTCCCACAGAGGCGTACCTGTCGCTTGTGTCACTAAACAGGTAATCTGTTTGAGCAGGTGGGTGACCCAGGGGCACATCAGCCTCCACTCCAGCCAGGAGATCCATGACAAAGTCGCAGCCTGCCAGGTCAGTCCAGCTCTCCCCAGCCAACAGAGACACAGACCAACCCTGTGTAGCTTCAGTCAGACCTCTGACAGAAAGAAATATCACATAAATATTTTGTTGTATGAAAATCTGAACATGCACTATATCAACAGAACAGAGTCTGATTCAATAAACCTAAGCTTAAAAAAAACATTAAAAAAATATTCAACAAACAAAGTCAGGAAGCACAGAATCTGGAATTAGTTTTAACATACTGAGTTTCATATGATTAAACATTTCAGAATGGTATAATATTTAAAGAAACAATTTTGTCACAATACAAAATATCTTAAAGGTCGTACAAAATAGGCATTTTTTCGTCATGTTAAAAAATATTTGGGGAGAAATATGACCTGGTTGTTTAAAAAATAAATCTCTCACAAAAAAAAAAGGCATTTATCTACCTGTTGCTAAGAAGCCAAGAAGCCAGTTGTTCCCCAGTGGTCCAAGACTCCACCTCCACAGTTAACTTTTCCTCTAAAAAACAAAAAACATTTAAAATCAAATAAACTCCATACTTTCACAACACGTTAAACAACATATTTCGAATCAGTTACTCTCTTGGAATGAGCAGTGCAACTGGGTAGTTATTTCAGTTATAAGTACAACAAAAAAAACTGTAATCCTCACCAATGAAAGTGTTGACCTCCACCACCATCTTTCCCTTTCTCTGATTGGCTGTCCACTCAAGTTGACTCGGAGGGTGCTGCCTGCAGGCAGGAGAGGGGAGCTGGAGGGATGTGAGGAGCTTGTGCTGGCACAGGGAGCGGTACTCCCCTGGACCCCGGTCAGACACATACCTGACAATCATTAAAACACAATATTTTTATTATGAACAAATTACTTCTTTCTGCAACTATTTATTATAGTATTGATCAATATGGAATTTAACTTTCTTAGTCCATCATATTTCAATGGGACAATCCATCCAGTTTATTTCGGAAATGTTCATTTGAATAATAAATCAATGGCAACGTTGTATCAGTCTGCAGTGATTTAAGTCAATAACCTTCTACTTTAGAAGACATGTAGTTGTAAATGCATGCAAATTTCAGTTTAAAGCTACACTGTGTGATTTTTTCCCCCATCTAGCAGTGAAAAGGTATATCACCATCCAGACAATGTTAGTTTCTGTTCCTCTCAATTCCGATTTTGTTTTAACTCCTACGGTGGCCAATGTAGTCCAAGATTAACATGGTTTCCAGTTCGACCTCGCCCATGAGTGTTAACTCAAACGTAAACGTGAAAGGTGAAGAAGGTGAATTAATGGGTATGTCCCTCTTTGGCTAATGTACTTTCAAGATGGAGGGGCAACATGGTGACCGACATTAGAACCCCTTACCCGTATGTATTTTCAATGGCATATTATACACTCACGAGAATACTTTATTACTTGAACGAAGTAAATATACATTAATGAGCACAAATATTTTTGAAAGAACTAAGTGTTTTTAGCTAAGAATAAACTAAAAGAGTTACACAGTGTAGCTTTAATACAGGCTAAAAGTGTTAATATAATTTCTGTTAAATTATGATAAATGTGAACCAATCTCTGAGGTGAGTTTTTTCTTTTCTTTCAAGCAATAGAAATAGAAAAAAAATCGTCCTATTCTAAAGACCACTATTTTGGGTTTGTGACACTATGACTGAAGACATACTTGAGCAAGGGTTTCTCCAGGGCAGGAGATGGTGTGAAGGCACTCAGACAGCAGGCCAGGAGCAACCAGCCCCGCAGGACACTCTGCTCCTTATCCCCGTCCCAAGTGAGGTAGACCAGTTGGGATAGAATCTCATCTCTTATGCTTGGCCGAATTTGGCTCTTCTCCACAATGTAGTTCCCCAACATCTGCTCTTGCCAGCCAATCAGATCTGAGTCGCCTGTGAAACGCAGGATCTAAGGAAGAGCATAGATTAGGAAGGATTCATTTAAATTCAAACATTTCATACCCGGTTAAAGGTTTATGTTTAAACTTCTGTGGTAAAAGATCCATTTAAAATACTGATGCAAAACACATTGCTATATGTGTCAAGATGTTTTTAGACATTGTACTGACCAGTTTATAGATTTCTAGAGCTGTACGGGTATCATCAGGGTCCAGAGATGTCAAAGACTTCTGAAGTGGGTAACCCTGCTGTTGGCACCATCCGTCCTAATGGAGTGAAAAACAGATAATTGATGTAACAAATTAATTAAACAGATTCACATATATGACAATTGTATATGAAGTGGAAGACTATAAAACTAAAAAGGAACTTTGCAAGTTCTAAACAGGTTAAACTTCACATTAACAGCTTACCTTCAGGACTGTGTTGGCATATTGGGAGAAAGGGTGTCTGTCAATGTCTTGAGGCAATGAGAGGTTGTGTTCTGCTTTGACCTTTGGTAGAGCTACTTCAGTCACCCCTGATCCTTGAGGACGCCCTAAAAGGCATTATTGTAAAATGTGAATACGAATATGTCATTTTGGTTTTACTTATGTTGATCATCAGTCACTAAAACACTTTTGTTTTTCAAAAAGCAATGAAGTTAAATTACATTCAGTACCTTTATATGAACATGGTCAATGATTAGTCTAAAATATGCACCAGTTCAACCGTTGTGGATCAGTAAGATTTCTTTTAAAAAACTGAATGCTTTTATTTAGCAAGGATGCATTAAATTGACCAAATGACAGTTAAGACATTTATAATGTTACAAATAATTACTTCCTATTTATCAAAGAATCATGAGTTATTTTAAAATGCAATAATGTTTTCATAATATTGCCGTATTTAAAGCATTTTGCTCAAATAAATCCAGCTTTGGTATGCATAAGATGCTGATTAATTTAATCATTAAACACCGTTCAAATTTAACATACTGAGTTTTACATGGTACATGGAACAGGTTGCTTTTCATCAATCAATTTTAGCCACATTTACACAAATAAATATGGAAACCTTTTTAGAGTTAAAGAATTTGTTGACTAACATTACCTATACTTTAATTGAATCAATACTTTTTTTTTAAATTGGTTATTAAGTAGAAGGACCTCACCTGCTGCACTGCGTAATCTGGCCGACAGTTCTGCCGGGATCTCCAATATTCCCACATCCTTTAGGAAAATTATAGTATTTTATTCTATAACTGAGATCTTGAGCACGGAAGTCGAAAGAAAACAAAAGTGAAAAGAGTCTCACCATCTCTGAAGAGGTATATGTAGATTTTGCTGCTTCCTTCACTCTGGGTCTATCACTATGTTCCTAATAAATTCAAAACACAAAAAGTTTTTTTAAAGACTTAACATTAAGTTACTCTCTGTTCATTCACCATGTAGTGTTTCATTCCATCTTGACTGAAAAATGAGACATTAATTTTGTAAAGCTTTTCCACTCATTGATTCTGTTACCTGTCCACGGCATCGTATGAAAAGGTAAACAGAACTATTCTTAGCAGCTGGGCACCTTTTATACCCCAGGAAGACCGTCCCTTTACACGCTCCTCCCCAAACAAAAGAATTACATGAAATGCGAGTCACCAAACCCATTTTTTATCTTATCATTTAGTTTTATCATTATGTTTGATTGGCCTTTCTGTTTTGTGTTCATTGTTGCCATTAGTGCAGAAAACAAACACATTTAAGAAGGCCTGATTTGCACATATTGTAGGAATAAATCTGGGAATACTGTAGGGTGACACAAGATATTCTTTACTTTTTCCAGTTACCTTTTTATCTTAAATAAGCTTCTATTGGATATGCAAAAATATAACCACACAATGCTGCTTTACCCACTGAATGAGGATCACTTGTCAACCAGTCACCATTCACCAAATAACAATTACTACAATGTGATTTGACAGCAGAGTATATGACAGCTCAGAAGGACATAGTCCAAACTGTATAAAACAATGGTGGGTAACAAGGAAACAGAACTGAAAGTAGCAGGTTACATAACTTAGTGGATCATAAATATAACAAAATCCATCAAAGTTTCGGACTGCATGTGTAACTATTTTAATTAAATAATTTATGAGTTTTGTACCCATGATGTACTTGACGAAGACTGAAATAGTGTTGAGAACTATCATAGAATTTGAGAAAGCTCAAAATATTTTGACATTGCTTCCATTTGTGTTGTTTAATAGTTTTAATAACTTTACTATTATTCTACAATATTGAAAATAGTAGACGGCATCCACAGGATTTTTGTCTCGTTTCCCAGCACAAATATGTAAACATTTTTAGTCAAGATACATTAACATTGTACTTGAGAAGCAAATTAACAAGAATGATTGAGAATGAATTATAAAATAATTGAGTTTATGTTTAAAACTACAAAAAATATCTGCCAATGGGGTCAGAAAAATAACCTTGTTTTCCCTTTGAATTAAGACCCGACTGGCAGACATTTTTTCTTATTTAAAAAAATAAAATAAACTTGATTTTTTCAGAAAACGAGACTTAATATCTTATATCATTTTGCTTCTCAAGTAAATGGATCGTGATTTAAGAATGTTTAGATATTTGTACTTGAAAACAAAACAAAAATGCTTAGGAGAATAATAATTTGAAGCGTAATAACAAACATAGGTAAATCTAATAAATAAAAATAATAAAAAGGTAAATACAATTTTTGAAGTAAAGCAAAAAAAAAAAAAAAAAAAACCTGAAACTTTCAGACGTACATTTAAAAGATTTTAAAGTACATTTTAAATCACATGCTTATTTACCACCCTGAATTCTCTCTGTATCATTAATCTTTCTGTTTGCTATTAGCATGTGTAATAGGATAAATATTAAACCTATCTAAAATATTAAACCACTACCTACCTAGGGTGATATTAAAACAAACGTAGCAGTCCCCATGTAAAGTGCTCTTTCACTTGTGAAATTGTTTGAAATCCGAACAGAAAAGAAGTGGCGCGTAGGTGGGTCTTGGCAGAAATGAGAAAAAGAAAGAAGTAAGGGAAAAGTAGAGAGACAATCTGGGATCAAAGATAAAAGGGCAAATAGGCGGGTGGAGCTCACCTCACCTAACCATGACATTTGTTACAATTGTAAACACTCTTAAATGTCCCATGATGCACAAGAGAGACTAAACATGCAACATGAATTAGAGATAAAAAAGCATTCTTTTTTTTGTTGTTGTAGAAGAAAAAACAACTTTGGACCATACTTTTTTATATTCAACTTTAAATGAAATTTGAATTATTTTCCTATAGAGATTGTGCAATAGAAAACTATGTGTGCCATTTCAACAGTAATACATTTAATTTCACAATCTCATAAATTCACTCAGCATACAAACGGGTTCAAAGTCCTTCCAAAGAGTAAAATATATAATACTCAATTATTACTCATGAGTACCCATGAGCACACTCTGATCTCACATGTAATGGAAGCCCAGCAGTAATCAATGAGACACTTGTGGCTAACTGTAGATAACAAAATATAAAACATTAATTAATTCTGTGATTGATATAACTATTCATTCTTTTTTGAATGGGACAGTGAGGCTGATATTTACCGTATCACATTAGCTGTCATACTTTAATAAAGTGGTTTTGGTTGCCTAGCAATGGTCACATAGCAAAACAGCTGAAATAGTGAAGCGTGTGTATGTGTATATGTGCACATTAAGTAAAGAAGACTCCAATACATACAGGTCGAAGAATAGAAAGACTACAGATAGATAGAGGGAAAGATAAAAGCTCTCACTCTCCAATGACGTCTCTTAATGGTGTCTCGGGTGATCATTATAGCTGCCCAGAACTGAGTGAAGGACTGTTTCAGTTTCTTGTAGTACTTTCTGTAACAGAAAGAGGGTGCCATTGTTTCACTTTAACTTCTATTTTATTATTATTATTTTATTTGTTGATCAAATATGAAATCTCTGCACATACCGGGCTTGGTGGCCCCTGATATGGGATTGGAGGACGATAGCCTTTTGTTTAAAGAAACGGAAGTTTCTTCGGCAGATGAAGCCACGAATGTTTCTCTGGATGGTGACTGCTGCCCATGTTTGGGTGCTACTCCATTTTTCCTCCACCCGCTGGAACAGAATCTCCTTCATAAACACCTGTGTGTGTTCACATTAATTTGAGGTTGAGATCTTTAGTTTAATGATAGTTAGAGTCAGAATAACCCAGGCTGGGAGAAAGAGTTAAATTACTGTACCTTAGTGAGTCCAAGCTGGTACTGGCCTTCCTCTGCTCCTACAGTCTCCAGTAAAGTGACCACTTGCTCTTCACAAGACTGGGTTTCTGATCTCTGGGCTAATAACACACCATACCTGAAATTAGACAAAGAGACAGTGCTAGAAAATAGAGCCAAAAAAATGAAGGAAATTATGAGGAAGAGAAGGTATAGTTTTGCCTATTTTCTAATGTATCTACACTCGGGGTTCCCATTTTTGTTTTAGATTAATAAAATATAAAAATTCTATGATGTTTCTATGATTTTTTTTAACTGTATCTTTATATGATAGTGCATAATATTATAAAGCAGATCATAACTACTTAAAAATAATTACATTATACAGTATAATATATTCAAAAAATTATATATTTTCACTATAGCAATTTTCCTTGATCTTTAATATTTTATAAATTCCAATTACTTAAAAATATATATAGCAGCTAAGAATCACAGAATTAAATTACATATTACAAAATATTTCAATAGGAACAGTTTTTTTTACACACATGCATTAAAAAAAACATAAAAACTTAAAAAATATTTACAGGTTTTTAATGACTGCTAAAATCTTGTAATTCACAGAATAAGCACAGAATATTTTTTTTAAATATATATTTATATACAGTATATTAGGGCTGTCAAACGATTAATCGCATCCAAAATAAAAGTTTGTGTTTACATACTATATGTGGGTGCACTGTGTATAATTATTTTGTATATATATATAAATACACACACATGCATGTATATTTAAGAAAAAAAATACTATTTATATATAAAATATTTATATATACAGTATATACATGAAAATATTTCTTAAATATATACAAGCATGTGTGTGTATTTATATATATATACACAAAATAATTATACGCAGTGCACCCACATATATTATGTAAACACAAACTTTTATTTTTGGATGCGATTAATCATTTGACAGGCCTAATATATATGTATGTATATATATATATATATATTAATACTCACTGCATGGGTGTTCTGGGCGATTGCTAACATTGATATGCTGTTGCTAAGGTGTTCTGGTTTTTATAATGTTGCTGTGTGGGTGCTAGATGATCACTAGGCTGTTTTGGATACCTAGTTGAATCATTTATAAAAGTAATAACAGTCTTCTACTCAATAACCTACACAATATAAGTTATTATTATGTCTCATAATAATAAAGCCACTAATAATGTATTTTAATGTGATAGATTCTATCATAGTGTGCTACCTCTCCATGAACAGAGCAAAGGGGATGCGAATCGGAAATCCCTCTTTTCGTATGTGAATGGTCTCCAGTATCCCTCCATGCCTCAGCTGTGTGGCCATGTAGTCTACATCAAATATTCCTGGAAGCTGGAACAACACAAAAACAACAAACCGAGGTCCACCAATACTGCTGTGCTTGAGAATCTCATACACAGAATGATATCCATTTTGTCAACTTAAATTACCTTAACGTAGTTGGGCTTAAAACATCGTATGAATGTAGTTTTACATCTTAAAAAAAAAAAAAACAGAAAGAAGAAATAGACAGACTCAAATCATCTGTACTGTACATATTCTCACAATGGACCACTACATAACTGAATGACAATAATGACAATACCAATTGTCCTGTGTACAACAAATACAGCAGCCCATTCATAGAAAATAATGCACAATAAATAATTGTGACAATTGCCGACCTCTCCAAACGAGTGGTGAGCTCTAGAAGTGACTGCTGGAAGTGACCAGCTACCGTTGTCATCTGGCTCCTGTAACCTCTTGCTCTTCCTAGCTCTTTCTGTTGGATGTGACGCTCCTGAACCTTCCGGAAGAGACCTGACACCATCTACACAGACAAGAAAACACACTCCTATTACCTGTTACAGGTCTTTGTTACCAAACATTGATCCTTTAAAACTTAATGAGACCTAAAGTTTGCATAAATGATATCAGTTGTTGCTAACTCTTTTGTTTTGTCTGGATATGTTGACAGTCTCATGAATATATAATAGTGGACACATTACTATGTTTCTTGCAATCTTGACACGTCACAAAACACTGAGGGTGGTTTGAAGTGAGCTTCCATGAACACAAATGAGATGAATTTACCTGTAAACGACTGCGGGCAAAAAGCTCTAATACTTCAGGCCGAAACTGGTCATGATTTTTATTTAGAAAGTTGTGCACCTGGTGAGGAAAAACAAAATGAGTGATTCTTACTGTCTTGGAATTATCAGGACAATCACATGGCATTAATAAAAACAATTGTGAATGCTCAGATCAGGCTTGCCTGGTACGTGACAGCTCCGGCATAGTGATATATTGTGAACACTGGCAGAGGAATTTTGGGCTTGGTGTAGTAAGGACTGTTGCCATGGTGATAGTGACATTTTTGTAAGAATGTGTGGTCTGTGGCCTGTAACAAAAAAAAGAGGGAGAGAGAGCCAAAGAAAAGAGAACAGTGGACAAAGATGGCCCATAAATCAATTTTAGTATAAAATCAATTTGCATTTGAATCAATAATAGGTCTTTTTGGTGACAATTCAAGTTTGATATTTAACATCACATTAGACACACAAAAATTCTAAATCCGTCACTAAGCTGTAGTATAAGAGTTCGACAGATATTGACTGAATATCTCTGGCTTGAAGCTGAAATGTGAAGTTACTTGAGGAAGGCAAGTCTGGTCATCCAGGATGCGAAGAATACCGTACGGCCGTGCTGAGATCAGATCCAAACAGCCATTAGAGTCTTCCAGAACTATTGGATACCACTGGATCTGTTCTGCACTGTATTCCTCCTAACACAAACACAACAAGCAAACCTTTTGTTTTATTTTGTTCAGTCCCCTCAAGTATTCATGATTTCCATTCTGCAAGCCATATTTTGGGTATATTTAAATTACCATACATACTAAAGGGATAGTTGAGCCCAAAAATAATTTACTCACCCTCAAGTTGTTCCAAACCTGTATAAGTTTCTTTCTTCTGATGCACACAAAATAAAATATTTTAAAGAATGTTGTAATCAAACAGTTGACGGTAGCCATTGACTTCCATAGAAGAAAAAAATAACATGGAAGTCAGTGAGTGTCTAACTCTCTAGTTACTAACATACTTTAAAATGTCTTCTTTGTGTTCAACAGAAACTACAGGTTTGAAAACAACTTGAGGGTGAGTTAATGATGATAGAATTTTCTCTTTTGGGTGAACTATCCCTTTAAAACGTGTTCCCTTCAAGTACAATAGGTTCAGAATCTCCGTACTAATATTTTCATACTTGGTCTCTAAAGTTGGAGAAAAAAAAAATGTCAATATGATTGATGAGGACAAACTGACCTGCTCTTGGGCCACCAGGGCTTTGTTCACAAACTGTTGCAGCTGCTCGTTGGCAAAGTTAATGCACAGCTGCTCAAAACTGTTCACACTCAAGTCCTGTAATACACGTTTGTTCAGTGCTTTCCCACAGACTTCATAAGCTATATTTATTTAAAAGGCTTAACAGGTGAGAATTCAGTGTCACTATGCACAAATGCTTCAGCTATAAATGTTAAAACACACACACACAAAATAAATAATTAAATTTAACAGTAAAATCGTCACATTGAGCCAGGTCATAACCAGGGACAAGATACCTCAAAGCCGTATATATCCACAATGCCGACGGTGCTGTCCATCTCTGTGGGGATTAACCAGTCATTGATGCGTTCAAGAATCCAATCAAACAGCACAGAATACAGCGTCTTGGCAATGGCATCTCTGAATAAATAGCAATCTGTAAATATTCCTCGACTAAATCACGTGTCTGATGTAATTTAATAAGTTCAATAACATTTAGCTAATCATCTAACCTGGATTCAATGGCACTTTCCACAGATAGAGGGCAGTAGATCCTATCATAAGTTGTTTCCTGCAGAAATAAATTTGAACATATTCCTTGTGAAAATATGGGTAAAGCTTCCTTTTACAGTCCAGTTACCCATGTAAAAACAATGTACTTATTTTAGTAACTACAATTACTGGGTAATAACTAGTACTAACCCTGAACCTACCCCTAAACCTACCCCTGTTCCATGTACTTACCTTATATTAGCCAGTACTTTCTAGGTAAGTACACTGCAAGTACTGTACTGTAAAAGGAAGCGTTACCAAAATATGATGTGACGGAGGCTTAATGACTTAATAATTTGATCATTGAGTGGAAATTAATTGTTGTGGTATTATACATTATGTCACGAAAGCTGTCAACTGAGTTTAACTTGTCCAAAACCCAAAATATTCCTTTAAGTCTGAGGGCAGGAGAAGAAACAAATTTGGATAAGAGTGTGTGTGAGTTGCTTACAGTCACCCGGTGTGTGATGACTGTCTGTAAGGCCTCTGCGGACACCTGCAAGAGGTTTCCCACTCTCCGAGCCTCAGCTTCACTAAAAATACGGGCAACCTCAAACGATTCACTCTAATTTTGTGAAAAGACAAACACACAGACACACGTCGTATACATATTTTAAAGGGTCTAACATCCTAAAATTGTCCATGAAAGGGCAACCACACCTCATAGGAGCTAAAACAAATGTTGCCCAGCTGCAGGATTGATGACAGAATGGCCCAAATGGTTGCTAGTTGATCTGCATGTAAACCAATTGTCTCCAAGCAGTGGACCAAGAGCAGGAAGTCTTGCTTGTCATGCTTCCCTTGTATCTCACAAGCCCTGCCCTTAAAAAAGCATTAAAAACAGGAATATTTAGAAATATTAGGGGATATTAAAAATTACAAAGAAACGGGCTATTCGTGGGCTTTTCTTTTACCTGGTTTAGGTAGAAATACGTTTCAGCTCCTTGCAGGTAAATATCCTGCTTGTCCCACTCATTCATCCCAGCCAACAGCTCATAAAACACATGGTAGTTTCTCTCCTCCTTAGCCTAAAAGAACACAGTTCCAGTCAATTCAATTATTTCAGATGTCCTAAAGTGCAAGCTAATGAATAAACATCTAACCTGGAAGACAATTCGTGATTTTTCAAGGAGATATTTTGACAAAGATGTCCCAACAACAACACCACTGAAAAAAGAAATGAAGATCACATCGTGCTCATTTAATGCTCACTGTCACCTAAATCAGGCCAACAACGTGCAGTACACTTACTGGAGTATGTGGATGTGTAGGTACTTTCCAAATCGGCTAGAGTTGTTGTTCAGTATAGTTTTGGCATTACCAAAGCTCTCAAGAATGGGCAAAACATCCATTGGCTGATGAGAGGGAGATATTTCTTTGAGTTTTCTATCTTATTTTTGCTAAACTTAGTCATATGGAATAATAAATTGCTTTACCTGGCGTAATTTATCGTTTCTGCCTTGATACATGGAACTCAGGTAGTGGACAATGAGCTTGGCAGCCTCTGTCTTGCCTGATCCACTTTGCCCACTGTTGAGACATTCAGATTCATTTAAATGTATAATATACATATAATATGCATGTTAAAATATAAGTGTATGCGCATATGAATCATACCCATTATCCTCCTCACCTTATGATGATGCAGTGCTCCTGGGTGGAATTCTGAGATTGGCAAAAGGCAGCATCTGCTATGGCATATATATGACTGCAGGGACAGTAAAAATCAATCTTTCAACTTCATTGCTAATCTCTTATAAAAGAAAAAGAAAAACATAATTTGCCTACTGCTCATATGGCAAAAAAAGATATCTATAGCCGAGCAATTCTTGTCCTCGTAGTGAAAGCACTCACGGAGCATTATTGTGCTTCTCTTTACCCTGGTACTGCTGTCTCAGATCCTCAGTGTAGATGCTGAGAAGCTTGAAGGGGTTGATGGACAGAAGCATATTGCCAATATACGTCTGTTGGTTTCATTAAATGTTTTAATAAAGTTGAATTTGAGAAAGTAGAACATATTCAGCCCTATAGAAAAGGTAATGCATACATAAATGGAATCCCGATGAAATCGCTTCTTCAGATTCAGCAGAACAGAACTCTCACACACCTCTCTGGAAAAAAGTTGTGATGTTTTAAAAACTCAACATGTCATTTGATATGCAAATTAATGTTTTGTTCATATTCACTCTTTACTGCTGTGCCTTTTGTTTCCTAGATAGTTTACATGAGGAAATGTGCATCAGAGGATTGACTCACTCCAGCTGTGCCAAATCTTCCACCTCATCCACCTCCACAGCTTGGCTGCTTCCTGGCATCATTACCTGAGGCACAAAGCAAAGGAAGCCGAGCAGATCTGTCACTGAGTGCCCCCAGTGGGCGGACACGTGGATAACACCCACACTATGACATCCTTCTCTGATTCAAACTATAAACTTTTAGATATCACTGCCTCCCTTATAACATCCCAATTATCCATCGAGGTTGTTTGCAAATTATAAATGAGCTTTTAGAATTATTTTGCAAATATCGTACCTGTGTGCTGTTAAGTCTCTCCTCTAGCATTTTTTGGGTCGGATCTTCGGATTCCCATGGGCCTTTGCCATTATGGACTGGAATGATGTGAGCATGTTCATCATCTTGATACACCGTCCATTTAGTGAGCTTCTCCACCGTTTGATGGGGCAGGAGGTTTTCTGAACGCAGCCAGTCTTGAGGATCATCACACATCTGTTGAGTCTGAGCCCAGTGTAGCTCCATAGCGGAGGGCAAAAGACCCTCACCCATCAGCTCCGCCACCTCTCGGTCTGCATCTTCCTCAAAAGAAGGTTGCGTCACTCCATTCCTCCTTGTCTCGGATTCTGCCGATACATCTGCCTTCCTTATATTCCTCTCCACTTCTTTGCTCTGTCCCGCACTTACACCATTAATCAAAGGTTTTGTCATAGACAACTTGGTGATGTTTACTTGCGATACCCCAAGTTTTCCCTTGGCGGCTTGTAATATACTTGTCCCACCGTTGATCCCTAATGTTGGCTCTTTGTTGTCTGCTTTGACCTCTGGCTGTTCCTCAGTCCCTCGAGAGTTTGGACTGCTGTTCTTATCACTTTCACTCCCCTGAGTGTTTTTCTTGATGGACCTTAGTAGGCTAAGGTCTGGCTTGACTGGAAGAACCAGTCGAGCACCAGGCTTTGGTGGTTTACGCTCTGTGCTGCCTCCATCGCCTGTGCTGGTGCTAGTTGATGGACTGGTGGCTTCCTTTGCCGTGTCAATTTTGTTCATCCTTGGGAACACAATTGCATATTTGGCATCTCCTGAGTTGGCCTTTTCCTCTACATCTTGTGGAGACGAACAAGGCTCATCAAGAGAATCACCCTGGGTGACATCTGTCTTGGAATCCTTTGAGGATGATACTTCATTCTTTGATTTTCCACCACCTGCCATTTTCATAACCATCTTGTGTCGGATAAGACTCCTCTTTGACTGGGTACTACTCCTCCTCTTTTTTAACGCCAAAGCAGAGATCCATTTTGAGACCCCAATCGCTTGGGTGACTGCCGATATTTTTCTTCGAACGTGAATGCTCTTTGGCATCTTCTTTTGAATCCATCCTGAGACACGCCGCAATGTCGTCATGCCTCTTTTCCGGGCCAATAAACGCTCTGTTGAATTTGAGGACATCTCTTCTTCAGGCTCAGCTGCATCTGGCACTATTTTCTCACATGCATCTTGTTTTGGTTCTTCAACAGCATCTACAGTGTCTTTTTGAAGTTTCCTCTTGCTTTTATCATCTTTCCCTTTGCCTTTCATTGAAAATAGCCCACGAGATTGTTTGTTCAACAATCCTTTTGGGCCTTTTGTTGGGCTTTCTTCGTGTTGATCTGCTTCCTCTGTCTTGGCATTTGCCTTTGTTTTACTTGCCAACTGTAGAATTTGAGACTTACCTTTAGAGGTGCCAACTTTGGAGAGAGCCATTCCTTTAATTTTTACTCCTTCTGAAGACACAGAAGCTTCTTTAGGGTCCTCTCCTTTTGAAGACCCCTTTTTTTGTAGTATCTTGGATTTTAACATCTTTTTCTGCCCCTGGAGGTGGACCGTCAGGTTTAGTGGTCCTGGTTTTGTTGATGAACGTGCCGTTTCTCTCTGTGTGCTCTCTTGCCCTGTATCACTCTGTACCTCCTCAGAGTCTATTTCTTCTTGTTCGTTCTCGGGTTCTATGATTTTACTTTCAGTAGGCACATCAGAGTCTTCTTCGCTTACATTTTTCTTCCCCTCTTCTTCTTCCTCCTTTTCTGTTTTGTTGTCTACATCTGACAGCTCTTCTTCACCACTTAATACACTTGCGTCTGTCTCATCAGTCTCCTTGATGCAATCTGATCCCTCCTTCTTGTCATCCTCACCTTCATCACTCTCTTGCTCTGAGCTCTCTGCTTTCTCGCTCTCCGATTCATCCTCTTCGGTATCTACTACTTTAGCACCTCTACTTGCACCTTTTGCAGGAGTTTTGGCTAGATTTTTTTTCTGGTCAGGTTTTGATCTGACAGCTTTCCCAGCTCTCCCTCTTGCGGTATTGCCATTAGTAACCTTAGCAGGTAAGATTTTGCCATTTTGCTTTTTCGCTTTCGCTATTTGCCTAGAGGTCTCTATCGCTTCCTCTGGTGGTTCTTCGGTTTGGTTACTCTTTCCAGTTATCTTCTCCGTATCTTTTTTGTTCTTCCCTTTCCCAGCTATCTCTTCCTTCTTTACAGATTTATCACCTTTTCCTATCCCAATTTCATTATTATTTAAGAGAATTTGAGATCCAGTCTTTCCTCCTTTTTTGAGGGGAATTGATTCTTTTTTGCCTGTCTTTCCTGCCACTGCTTTTTGCTTCCCTCCTCTAGCCCTTGTAGGGGATTTGGCTGGAGGCATGATTCCTCGGTCAAAGAAAACTCACTGGTCCTCTTTCTGACTTTCCCCCTCAATGTCAAGACATTTCTTCAATGACCTAAGAATACTAAAATATTTTCAAAGATTAAAAGATCTGTGTCAGGAATATACAATATAAAAGTGTTATATCATTATGCTAATTACTAATTTTATTTATTTTTTTATTTTTTTTTACTTTTGTGCAGGTCTAGTGAAACTCATGCATATCAGCAACCACCATGGGTGGAGATCATGTGTCATGTCTTTCAACTAAAGTGCAAGGTGTACCTAATGGTCACCATTAGGACTGGGTTTCAGGCATTTAGCTCTTCACTCTCAATAATATCAATTGGATTAAAAAAAGACTGATACAGACAGTATAACAAGGTACTTCCAAGTACTCAATTACTCAATTACAATTCCTTTTTTAAAAGAAATTCCAACATAAAATTAGAAATGGATATTGATTCTTAAATCAAATGACCATTAAATATCAGAACAAACAAAAAAAATGTACTTCAGGCTTTCATCTGTGTACTACCGAATGACTTACCTTGGGTACATATGAGGCACTGAGGGGGTCTGGTGAGTATTTCTGTTAGTCCTGAACACTCCATGGATTGATTCTGTGACTAGACTCAAACACCAACATAGTCTCTCGGACACACACACACACGTACGCAGAACCTTTCAAGGGTTTTAGTGAATAATTTATATTTGACGGCTCACCATATACAGTTATGCACCCATTCATATCGGCAGCTGCTGAACAGACGGTGGAAAGGTGAGAGGCTTTACTGCAAGGACGACAAAAGGTGTTGATACATGAGAAAGACACTAACAGATGCTCACACATTTACAAAGAAATTCCAGAAGACATTCCATCAAACTTTTCAGAAAAGTCCGTTTTCTTTCTCCATCAAGATCCAGATTGAAATGTAGGATAAAAAATCAAGGTGGGTAGTTATATTTATTTTGTACCCACACTGTAAAAAATATTTTCAAGATTTGTTATCACAACATATTTTCTTTTGTCAAATCAACTTTATAATAATTTATTTAGTTGAGATAACTTATTATTTTGAGTTTCTGATGATTAAATTAATTTCCTTCATTGTATTAACTCTTAAAATTTTAAGGCAACCCGGGTTACTTACTTTTTAAGTTAAACCAACAATATTTTTTTACAGTGTAGTAATCACAACATTTTTTCTTTTGTCAAATCAACTTAAATAATTTATTTAGTTTAGATAACATATCATGTTGAGTTTCTGATGGTTAAATCATTCTCCTTCATTGTATTAACTCACTTTTTCCAGTTCAATGAACTTAAAATTTTAAGGCAACCAGGTTACTTACCTTTTTAAGTTAAACCATTAATATTTTTTTACAGATTTTTATAATATATTTTTTTTAATATTTTTTATTTTTATAAAAGAAGAGAGTTCGGACATCCCAAAACGATATAGGAGACTCAACATTTCACATACAATTAGTAAGTAAAACATAAATAAAACATCATGGCATACTGCACCATACGTATCCTCTGACTAAAGATACTAAAACATCTGACTAAAAGAAGCGAGAAAAAAACACACACACACACACACACACACACACACGCATGTATTTTTATACTGTACAAACTATATCCTACACTAACCTTATAAAACTATCACAGAAAACTTTCTGCACTTTCAGATTTTCAAAACACTTTAGTTTGATTTATAAGAAGCTTTCCTCATGGGGACCAACTTTTTTTCCCCGTTAGGTGATAATTTACTGATATTACTATCCTTGGGGAGACATTTGGTATCAAATGAATAATGTAGCACAAAAACTACAAAAAAATATGTATCAGGATAAATAAAAAAATAATGAAAAAAGTTGTAGATCAAAGAGAGTAAATATGAAATATTAAAGTGCATCAGTGTATATTAAGTACATGGTCATTTATAAATTAGTCTTTTTTTGCCCTGTCCATAAATCAAATATTGTCTTTGTTAATAATTTCCTTGCCATAATAGGGAAATATATCCAAACATTATGTTATTAGTTGTTTTTAATTATTTGAATCTCATTTATATTCAGAAGCTAATACTTGACCATACTAATATAATATATAATTTCTACTTTATATAACTTGCTTGTGCTGTGTGCACAACATCATAATCAGCTATTCTCCAAGATTCTTTAAGAGATGGTGTCCAATATCAGGTAAACATTTGAGCTAATGCGATTAGGGAACAAAGCATCTCTCAATAATAGATGATCAAAACTCTTAGCAACTGATCAGACAGAGGGACATTTCCTTTAAAATGTTTTCAAAACAATCACCTCATAATAGCCATAGATGACTACACAGATGCAAAGTTAGAGTTCACTTATAAAAAAATACAATAAAATAAGTATATGGAGTAAATGAACCAATGCTCTAGTTTTCTGATTTTGGGCCATTTTTAATATTTAAAACTAAACTAGTGAACTTTTTAAATTCTTTATATTTTAAAAAGATCGAGCAAAATGTTCTGCCTGAATCTCTGCTAATATTTAATAACCTCTTACTGGACCTCCCTGAATTAAACAAACTCATCAACAATGATGAAAAAGACAGTAGTTTGTGTGAAAAATCTTTACTGAGAAGACTGTAGTGTGAAGTTACAAAGAATAATAATTAGTGTTCTCATACATAATCATGTTTCTACAAAAAT